ACCATCCACTCAGATAGTGAAGACAAAAAATAAGAGTCCTTCTTGGTTCTTTCTCTCACCTTCCTTGAGCCATCCAGCACACAGGAAGCACATGGCTCCCCGCCTCTGTCAATCTGGACGCGTGCACTCCTCTCCAGCTCTGCTGTTTCCACTGTAGGCTAAATAATGGCCTTTCAGATGCATCCACATCCCAATCCCTTTGTGAATATGTTACCTTACATGATAAAAGGGACTTTGCGGATGTCATTAAGTTAAGGATCTTGAGTCGGGAAGCTTATCCTGAATTATCTGGATGAGTTCAATGTAATTACAGGTCCTTATAAGAGGGAGGCAGCAGGATCAGAGTCAGAGATAGAAGATGTAAGGATGGAAGCAGAGATCAGAGGGGGAGGAGATGCTACCCTGGCTTTGAAGATGGAGGAAGGGGCCGTGAGCCAAGAAATGCAGGCAGCCTCTAGAAGCTACAAAAGTCAAGGAAACTGATTCTCTCCTAACACTCCAGAAGGAATGCAGGCATGCCAACACCTTGATTTTAGCCCAGTGAGATTGATTTTGGAATTCTGAACTTCAGAACTGTAAGAAATACATTATGTTGTTTTAAGCAAATAAATTTGTAGTAATTTGTTACAGCAGCAATAGAAAACTAATATACCACTGTAGTTTAAGACATCACCGCCATCTCTCACCTGCACTACTGCCATAGAATCCTAACCTGTCTCTCTCTGTCCACGCTTTTTTTTTCTTTTATTGCAGTAAGAACACAACATGAGGGGCTGGCCCTGTGGCTGAGTGGTTAAGTTCATGCACACTGGTTTGGTGGCCCAGGGTTCGGTGGCCCAGGGTTTTGCTGGTTCGGATCCTGGGCACGGACATGGCACCACTCGTCAGGCCATGCTGAGCCAGCATCCCACATGCCACAACTAGAAGGACTCACAACTAAAATATACAACTATGAACGGGGGGATTTGGGGAGAAGAAGCAGAAAAAAAAAAAAGATTGGCAACAGTTGTTAGCTCAGGTGCCAGTCTTTTAAAAAAAAAGAGCACAACATGAGATCTACCCTCTTAACAGATTTTTAAGTGTGCAATACAATATTGTCAACATAGGCACAATGTTGTAGAGCAGATCTCTAGAACTTATTCATCTTGCGTAACTGAAACTTTATACCCATTGATTAGCAACTCCCCATTTCTCTCTCCTCATCCTTGGCAGCCACCATTCTACTCTCTGTTTCTATGAGTTTGCTTTAGATACCTCATCTAAGTGGAATCATACGGTATTTGCCCTTCTATGATTGGCTTATTTCACTTAGCATAATATTCCATGTTGTTGCATATTGCAACATTTTCTTTTTTAAGGCTGAATAATATTCCATTGTACGTATGTATTCTTGACTCCCTGTGAATCTTCCCCACAGCAGTGTGGGTGTTGATTTCAAATCCCTCTGCTCAAAACTGTCCAATGTCTGGCTTTTCATTCATTTGGAATAAAATCCAACCCCCCTACCTTGGCCTACAAGGCCCTCTGCAGCCCTGGCTACTTCTCCAACTCTCTTGAATCTCTCTCCCCTTGTCCACTTTCCTCCAGCCACTTGGGCCGTGGGGCCTTTGCAGTAGCTGCTTCCTCTACTTGGAATGCCCACCCTCCACAGATGGCCAAATGACTGCCTCTTTCATGTCATTCGGGTCTTAACTCTAAAGTCACCTGCACAGAAAAATCCTCCATGGCTATCCAACCTGAAATAGCCCCCTGGAAGCTTCCTAATACATCCTCTTGGGGTTTTTGCTAATCATTTCCCTTCTCAACTGGGAATTTCCTTGTTTATTCATTTGTGCATTTGTTTCTAGTCTGTCTCTACTAGATTTTAAACTCAGTGAGAGTGAGAACCTTTGTGTCTTTCTGCTGAAAGTATGTTCTGCACCTAGAGTGGGGCACATAGTAGTTGCTCCATAAAAAGAGAGAGGGACCAGTAGAGAGTATAGCTAGGCAAGGTCTCTCAGTGGAGATGTCTTTTTAGCTCGTGTTTGTATTCTTTTTAGAGAGACCAGAGGAAAGGATTCTCTATTCAGTTTTGTAAGAGGTTGTTCTCTGACTTCTTCAGGTAAAGAGATGGGTGGGATTTTGGATAAAGAATTGAGCCTAGAAAAGGCAGATTGGTATCCAAGTTCACATGCTTTCAAAATGCCATCTCTTCAGCTAGTCTTTTTATTTTATTCCTCCTTATTAGTAAATTCAGCATCACTTAGCAAGAAGACTGATTCTGAATAGTTTTAGTATGAAAAGTTTGACTGATATAAAAAGAGTTTATCAAAAGCTCACCAGCAGAGGGGGTATAGCTCAGTGGTAGAGCATTTGACTGCAGATCAAGAGGTCCCCGGTTCAAATCCGGGTGCCCCCTCGTCTGCCTTTATGTTTTCCACAACCATTTAGGTAGAACCCAAAATAATCTGAATGTCTGCAGATTGATTCCGAATCCAAAACTCCCTGGAAGATCCACTCAGGTATAACTCAAAACAGCCCTGATGTCTGCCGGTTCTGAACCCAAAACTCCTTGGATGATTCTCTTGCTCTTCCCCCTGCCCGGTTTTCCTCCCTCAAGTGTTCCTAGTACCGGAGAAGTAGAGAGCAACACCCTAGAGTTTGCACTGGGATGACTGGACTGCGTCTGAACCGTATACCCCAACCCTGGTGAAAAGCCCACCTGTACCAATAGGTAGAAAGAAGGTGCAGAACTCCTGTAACCCTACCTCCAAGATGTTCGAGATCTACCGATTTAATGTTATAGTTTCTTTGGGGGTAAAAATGGAGTGCCGGGGAGGGAGAATGTTATTTTGCCTAGTTCATACTCTGACAGGGAAGACTAGGAGAACAGAAGTTCAGAAGGTTTATGTAGACGCGAAGTTTAACAGTACACAGCAGAGACATAAGATCGAAGGTGAAAAGTGGATGGCTTTCTTTTTCTTTATATTAGCTCAACGCCAGGGCTTTGGCCTGATAAACCTACAGGTATAAGTTTAAGGCCTGGCGTGCAGGAAAGGAGTGAAAAGCTGGTTATTTCTCAGGTCTGGGCTTTGCACGAGACAGCAGCTCTGCTCAATCTCCATGTCCAGCCTCGAGATACATCTCACAGTAATGGGAGCCAGGGGGAAAGAATGCGTTGGAGTATTCCCCCGGGGCGGAGGGATGACACAACCAGATTCCTGGTTTAAAATATCGCAGCTGCCCCCTGACCTAGGCAGCATGCCTCTCCCTTTCTCCTTTCTTTTTCCTTTTTTTGGGCAAAACGTAGTAGAGGGGGATGCCTTTGCTCCCTTCACACTTATCGTTTTCCTCTGGCCCTACAGTGACACTGTCACGCAGCCAACAGATAACTCCCCCACCTTTAGGTTATGAAACTCCATGGTCTTGTATTACTAGTTCAGTGGTTCTCAAAGCATGGTCCCCTGACCAGCAGCATCAGCATCACCTGGAAACTTGTTAGAAATGCATATTCTCGGGGTCCCACTCCAGGCCTACAGAATCAGAAACTGGGGGTGTATTAACAAGCCCTCCAGGTAAGTCTGATGCACGCTCAAGTTTGAGAACCACTACATTAGTTTATATCAGTTTGCATCAGCATCTAACTTTATTTTTGTCAATTAAAATGAGCTTATAGGTGTGCCTTGGCCATTTTAACGTTCTCGAAATGCTTTCACTCTGCCTGTGTCATGAGCAATAGGGAAGGGTGAACACAGCAAGTCCGTATCACCGGTAATAAAGAAAGTTGAAGTTGGAGAAAGGTTGTGTCTGTGGGTTTCCCTCTCTTGACTCAAACCCAACCCCACTGGAAACGGAACGGCAACTTGAGGGAGTCATTTTGTCCCCTGAACCTGGCGCCTCGAACTGCCTGACACATTTGAGGCTGCTGGCGGTGGCCGCGGAAATTCCGACACCTCTGGAGCAGGTAACGGCGACGCGCAGCTTTTGTACATGATTTATGCACGTACCCACCCCTCCTCCGTCTGCTGAGTATAAAGCAAAATCGAAAGCTTCCGCTAAAGTTGGAAAACGAGGAAGGGATTTTGAAAAAAATTGTCTTTCTGTTTTCTTTTAACCTAGGACCCAATATTAAAATACTAGTTACGGAAGGAAGGCAAAGCCACCAAGGGGGCACCCGGATTTGAACCGGGGACCTCTTGATCTGCAGTCAAATGCTCTACCACTGAGCTATACCCCCAGGCAGCTCCTCCGCCTGGAGACGGCTCTTTTGGGTGTTAAGACACTGTTACACTGAGGCTAAGGAGAAAGGAATGAAGGAGGCAAGGGGGCCAAGCGGAAAGAAGGCGCCCAGATCCGGGGAACCTTGGGAAGTTGCACGGCGGGGGCTTGGGGGGGGGGGGATGGAGAAGAACTATCCCGGGCTGCGAGGCGCTGAGTCCACGCGGGAGGGACCCGTTCCGCCCTACAAATGTGGAAAAGGATGAGGGGGGAAGGGAAGCTAACTGAGGGGCGGAGCAGGGGGTTCCCGTCTGGTCCGCAGGTTCACGCCAGTTACCGACGAGTACAAAGAAAAGTCCTCGAATCTGGTGAATCTGGTTGGGGGTTCTGGAGGGTTCCAACCCCACCCTCGATGGGTGTGTAGGGTTTGGCCGCCTCCCGCAGTCCGGGGGCCCCAGATGTGCGGCTAGACTGGCTCCGCGCCGCCTCCAGCACGGGAAAGGCCCTGGGCAAAGCCGGCTGCCCGCGCCTGGCTTCCGGGCGCGCCTCTCCAAGTCACCTTCTGCTTGAGAGCGCAGGGGCGCAGCGGGCCTCCGGACACCCCCGAGGCGTGCACCCCGGCCTCGCAGCCCTCCCCGGAACCCGCCCCCGCGCAGCCACACGTCGCCCGGGGAGCGCGCCTCGCCGCGCGCGCCCCTGCCCGCGCCTGCGGCGCGTCCCCGCCCCGGTGCAGCCCCTCCTCCCCACTGTGTTTATTAGGGGAAGGAGGGCGGAGGCGGAGGCCAGTTCCCTAGCTCCAGCCGCCGTCGCCGCTGCCTGTGTAGCTGCAGGCGCGGCCGTCTCTCGCCAGCTCGCTCCGGGGAAAGAACGCGCGCGAGCTCGGGCGTCCCCGCCCCAGCCTTTCCCGGAGCCATGAACCCCAACTGCGCCCGGTGCGGCAAGATCGTGTACCCCACGGAGAAGGTGAACTGTCTGGATAAGGTGAGCCCCGGAACCGGGAGAAGCGATTTTGCAATCTCTGAGCAGGGATCCAGATGGAGGGAGGAGAGAGGGGCCGGGTCTCTGCCGCTCATTCCCGCGATCCCGGGAGGAAGGAAGGAGGGCGGTGTCATGGGGTGTGAGGAGAGACCCCAGTGTGGAAGCCAGGAGATCCGAGGCGAGGCGAGGAGTCCATGCGTGGCGGGCAGCCACTACTGGAGAAGAGTAGGCTCTGTGCCCCGGGGTTCGGAGGACGGAAGAGGAGTAGGGAAGCCAGGCCCCGGGGTTGGGGGTGGGGGGTGGGGAAGGTTAGGGGGGCAGTCCCGCCCCCTAGGGCCTGGAGAGTGAGAGGAGACGGCCGCTCCCTCTCCCCGCGGCGCCGAGCGCCAAGTAGGCGGAAGCGCGGGGCGGCGGGGGGGCGGGGCAGTGGCTGGGGGGCCCCGCGAAACCGTCTGCTGTGCCCCCGAATGGCCCGGCTTCCTGGCCTGGAGACTGCGAGGCGGGGGCTAATCAGTCGGCGAGCGTTGCGTCTGGTGAATTGAGCTTCGGATAAGGACCCGAGCCCCACTGCGAGACCCCTGTTTTTGGACGACCTGCAGCCCCCTTGGTGGTTCAGCGGTTAATGGACCAGCAGACCTCCTCTGGAGCTTCCCAGCCCCCACCTCAGTTTAGAAACCAGCTCCCGGTGCCGGGCCGCCCAGCCGGAGCGGGGCGGGGTCGGGTGCTGGAGTAGGGTGGGCGGGGGCCGCTTCGCAGAGACCTCCTGAAATTGTGCTCAGAGCCTGAGACCGGCTTGTAGAACAAAGAGCTAACTTTTCAAAGCAGGTTTCCCCGATGCAGGGTGGGGTTGGCTGAGTTCGGGGGAAGCCAAGCAAAGGAGGAGGTGTGGGGGGGAAGGGGAGGGTGGCCTTCTGCAAATTCAGTGTCCCCTGGGGGCCCTTACGCGTCGTCTCCCCTCCCCTGCTGGACTCATTCATCTGGTTGCCATTATACTTTTGGAGGGGGGCGGAGAGTTAGAACTGGGTGTTTCCAGCAGTTTGGGGTAGGATCCAGTCCTCTTTTAAGCTCCCTAAGATCCTAAGGCCAGTCTGCCCCCTCTCTGCGCCTCCTCCCCATACTGGAGGAGAGGCCTCTGTGATTGCCCCTTCCTCGTCCTACCTTTCCCCTACCTCCCAAAGCTGCCTCCAAGTCCGAATATTCCCTCCTTTGCATCTGAACTGGCAGGGGTGGGGGCCATGGGATGGAAGAGGGGTGCAGAGCCCTGAGACCAGTTTCACTGCCCACCGGGAGCCAGGTTTTGTTTGGGAAAGGACAGTTCATTGGATACTTTTAGTCTCTCCCCTCCCCCTGGGCGTTGGAGCTTCCTTAGCGACCTTTGGCCTCTGAGTCAGGGTGAGGGGGTGGTGTTCTGAGGTTCAGAAATCCATTTGAACTTGCTCTTGGAGGAAGGGGGCTTATGGGGCTGCTGCTGTTTCACTGCTTCTCTTGGCCCTGGCTGGGCAGGAGGAGAGGAGAGCCATATTGTGGGCACAAGGGATGTGGGTGCTGACCTTCCCAATGACCGTGCCAGCCTCTGGGGGGCAGAACTTGAGTTGGAGGCACTAGCTGAAGGACTCTCTGTCCTTGCACACTAGGTTTTTTTTCCTCTTTTCTGGTGGTAGGGGTTTCGGCCTCTGCGTCTTGAGTTCCCTGTGCCCCCCTTCTCCGCAGTCATGAGTTGGGGAGAGGCTGTGGGCACTTTCATCCATATAAGGCAGAAACAATATATGATGGAGGCATTGCTAGCCCGGGAGTTGGAAGACTTGGTCCTAGTTCCTGGTCTGCTCCTGCTAGCTTTATGAATGGCTCTAGGCCTCGGTATTCGCTCCGTCATATGGGTAGGGTGATGTCACTTCCTTGGAGGTGGGGCAGTGCACTAAAGTGCCTTCCAAAGTGCCCAGGAGTGGGTGTGGTATAGGCTGTGCCCTCCCTACCTCTCTGGGATACTCTGTCCAGTCCCACACCTGGCTCCCCTTGTAAGGACCTTTGATGCCGTATGTCAGAGGGGAAGGGGGCAGGGCTCCTGCAAAGTGCCCTCCCCCCAGCTGTTCTCTTGTCCTAGCTGGAAGAGGACATTCAGGGGGGGTTGCCCTGGGAAGTGGGAGTTGGTGATTTCTCCTTCTTTATAGAGCTCTCTCTATAGGAGGTGGCCCTGGGAAGACCTTGACCCCTGCACTGAGCAGGAGGCTTGGAATATCCAGATATCAGACTATTGGTCCCAACCTCCTCCAGGCAGTAAGGACAGGCACTTGGACTGGGTACCTGGTGCCTGGAGGACTGAGACTTGGGAGGGGGAGAACATTAAGTCCCGCAGGTGTGGCTGCTAACCAGCTTCCCAAGGCTTCCCGTTTACAATAGGAGAGAGTCAAATCAGCCTCACCCATTTCACTATGATTTCCCTACGGCATGTAGCCGGCTCACCATGTGACCCAGAGCACAAGCTACGTCCTTGGTGTTAGCCTTTTCTCCTCCCTGGGCCTTATCTCCCAAAGGCTTAGGTGGGTAAAGGCCATGTCACCTCTGATGGCCACCCTGCCCCCAACCTGCAATACCCAGTGTGCTCTGCATGCTGAATAAATATGTATTGCTGATGACAGAGTTGGAGGAAGGAGGTCGAGATTTGCTTTCCCACAGGCTTCTGGGATTGCAGTTGGGGGAGAAACAGGGTGACCTCATTCACTCATTCATTCGGCAAATATTTATTGAGCACCTACTCTGTGCCAGGCCCTCGGCAGAGCTGCTGCAGGGCCCTTGGGAGGGGAGAGAGGCTGTCTCAAAATGTCCTCTACATTCTGAGAGAGGTGAGGTTTTGTCCCACACCCTGTTGGGAAGCATTTGTATGTGGGGACCTGTATTGTCAAGAATCTTGCCGTGGCCTCCTGCCCTGGCTTGCTTTCCCGGGCTCCTGAAACAGGTAGAGACATTCGGGAAGGGCAGAGGCTTGGTGCGCCGCCCTTTCCCCTGGAACCCCCCATTAGGAGGGCTCTCTGCCTCTGGGTGTCTGAGCCACCTTCCACCTCAGCCCCACAGTGGGTAGCAAGGTAGCAGGAGGCTGGGCTGGACACAACAAAGGGGACAGCTGGGACGTCCCGTTTTCCTAGCCGAAGCTGAGTACCTCACGATCACCTTGCGACCATCCATTCATAGTAGCGACTACTTACGGCGATGTGCCAGGCTCAGTCTTCATGGCAGCCTCGCAAGACAGATGTGATTGCTCCTGTAAATTATGAACCCCATAGACGGAGGCTCAGACAGGTCATGTGGCTCATTCCTCTCTCAGCCAGAGCTGGAATTCAAATCTAAAGCTCTTTGTGCTCCGCTCTTCTACCTGGTGTGTTTGCAAAAACTACTTTTACTTACACTATCTCATGAGTGTCCCAAGTGGTCCGCCCCTTCCTGGCCCTGGGGTCTTGTGGGGAACTGGGGTACTAGGAATAATCCTCTGCCCCTGGGAATTTGTGGAGGTACAGCCAAGGTCTGTGCCTTTCAGCCAGAGGCCCAGGTGTCCAGCTGAGCTTGGCTGGTGACCTGGCCGGGGTGGGGCTGGTGTTACCCCTGAAGGATGAGAGACTGTAACCCCAGGCGACAGGAAGGGAGGGGAGGGTGTCATACTCCAACCCTGAGTCATGGTCACCCCAGGCAGCCGGGGTGCAGAGGGCAAGATGCCAGGCTGCCACACAGTGACCTGAAGCTCGCTGTAGCCCCTCAGCCAGAGCTGGGAGGAGCCGCTTCGCCCACCTCCACGGTGATTCCTGGGTTCTTGCTTCTGCCCCCATCAGCCTCTGTTTGCCTGTCTGTGGAATGGGTTGCAGCTTTGGAGCTGCAGGCAAGGGAGTTGAGGGCGACTCTGGGCCTGGGATGTGGGCTGAGAGGCTTCGAACAGGCACTAGAGGTCTGTTTTTTGCAAATAGGGAAACGATGGCCTTCCAGAGCAGCGTTCTGGAAGGATCAGAGTTGCATGCCCAGAGGTGTGCTCTGTTCCCCTGAGCTCCACATCCCCGGAATGCTTCTTTGAAATCTTACCTGGGGCCTCTAAGAAAGAGGGGACTCTTGCTCTGGGATAGGGCTTGTGGGGCAGGAGAGGAGGCAGACAGAGGGTCCTTTGGGGTTGTATTGACTTATTTCCTTGACTGTGCCTTTCCCCAGAGCCAACTGAGACAGGGATGGGGTTTCATCTTGAGGTGGGCCCAGGCTTGGCCCACAGGGGCTGTTGAGTGACTCACCATGCTCTGCTCCTCCACCTCCCCCAGCTTTCCTATCCCAAAGAGGACACAGTGGCTGGAGCTGCTGGATTTTCTTGAACCTTGAACCTTCCTCCAGACAGCAGAGGGAGGTGACATGAAGCAGCCAGGGGTGCCAGGCATTATCCTAGGCTTGGTGCCTTTGATGTCTCATAACTCCCCCCATGAGGGACCATGGTTTTGGCTCCACTCTACAGATGGGGAGACTGAGTTCGGTAGCTCCCCTGAAGGCACTCGGTCCACTCTCGTTTTCATTATTCTGCTCCGGATCCCCCTGTAAGGGAATAGGTGACCCCCACCCCAGCCTCTAATGTGTCTCGCTGAGAGCAGGGCCTCTCTGGGGGTGATGGGGGGTCAGAGCTACTGATGGAAACGTGCACCATCCCCTTGTATGGAGGCTCTCCTTGCTCTCGGTGGCAGCAGGGAGGGATCTTGTGGAACCCCTGGATTGGGCTCTGGGCCTCTACCCCAGCCTTGTCAGTATACCCTGCCCTTCTTCCCAAGGGGCTTGGCTCCAGGGTGGGGACCTGCCTATTCTGCTAGGATAGGGAGTGTCTCTCCCTTTGTCTCCCCCAAGTCAATCAGCAGGCAGTTTTGGAGGTCCCCAGTCCTAGGACAGTGCGTATTCCTGCGTGTGTGTGTGTGAAAGTGGGTCATGGTCTGGATTCCAGAGAATGTTTTTCCTGGCAGGCCCCTGCGGGGGTAGGGGAGGCGGGGGCCCAGGCAGGGGCATGTGCAGCTAAGCAGGCAGAGGCCAGCAGACTGGGTGGTGACAGCACTGGGGCACTCTGCCAGCACCTCCCAGGCATTGGGGGAGGGAGAGGGGCTGTCGTTTTGGGGGTTTGTGGGGGTGGGGACTGCCCTGTTCGAGTTTTCTGGTGGGTTGTATGTGTTGGGGTGTTGCACCGGGAGGAGTTGGGGCTGGGCTCCAGGATAGGCCCCGGTGGGCGGGGGCCAAGCTTAGGCCAGTCATCCTTTTGCTTCCAGACTTCCAGTTGGCCTTCTTCCCAAAAGAGAGGTTCTCCTATCACTTCGTTTACTATTCCACCATTGGAGATTCCTTTGGATCTCCTTGACAGGGACAGTACCCTGTTAGAAAGCGATAACCCCCACTTACCCCATGGTCTCTGGATGAAGTGGGCCGGGAAAGAGGAGATGGTATCCCAACCTCTCAGCTTCTTTTTTCTGTCCCCTCCTCCCAAGTGTCCCAGAAGCATCCCTTGGCTGGGAAACACATTTTGAAAAAGCACTGCCTTGGGGGAGTTCTTTGACAGATGGCTGAGAACCAGCCCTGAGCTGGGTCCCTTTGAGAGTCTCCCTGGGCCCTTGCCTGGCTCTGGTCTCCTTTTTTTTTTTATTGCTTTTTTTCCCCAAATTCCCCCAGTACATAGTTGTAGGTCCTTCTAGCTGTGGCATGTGGGACGCCGCCTCAAAATGGCCTGATGAGCGGTGCCCTGTCCGCGCCCAGGATCCGAACCGGCGAAACCCTGTGCCACCGAAGCAGAGCGTGCGAACTCAACCACTCAGCCACGGGGCTGGCCCCTCTGGGCTCCTTCTTTGAGAGATCAAGAGTGTCTCCTTTGATTGCTGGGAAACAGGGCAGAGACAGGCCAGCCAGGTCATCCCGGCGGCCCGGATTCTGGGAGTCCTGGAAGCTGGGCTCATTTGGTGCTGATCCCGGGGCCTTGTCCTGGGCTGCCAGGGGCAGATTTCTGTCTCATTTGCAAAGGTTTGCTTGAGCATCAACGTTTCTCAGGATGGGGTCACTCTGTTGCCTCAATTCCCTTTCCCTCATGGTCTTCAACTGTGTTCTTCTCCATCAGCCATCCTGGATTGGTTGCTCCCTCCCTGGTCCTTGGGCCTTGCTGAAGTCTTCCTGTCATACATTCTCACTCACACACGCTGTAGCTGTGGTTGGGCACAGTGATGCCCCGCCTGCGCCCCAACGCACACAAACCTCCAGTGTGAGCTGCTGAGCCCCTTGGCTCAGGCTGAGGTTCCTACCTGCCATGCCCAGCACCTGATGTTCGGTCCGTAGAGGTGCCAGGTGCTGTGTTAAGGGCTTGGTGGGTGATTTCTCGTTAATCCTCAGCAGTCCAGGAGGGGTGGGTATCATTTCCATTCTAACAGACATGGAAATGGCTCAGAGGTGTGGGCCCTGACTTGGTCACCCAGCTAGTCAGGGAGGAGGTTTGATGTCCACTATGGGGGGTCCACTCTAAGGCTTTTAAGCAGAGCTTTTCAGTGCATCGGTGACCACCTGCTGGGTGCTCTCTTACCTGTTATCTGGCTGAGGGGTGGGAGTGGTAGCTAGAGCTGGGGCACCCATCCCCTCCTCTGGTTAAGGTCCCGCAGTGGGAGGTGTCAGAGCTGGAGCATCATCCGGGCTCATGTGTGTCCAGAGGCCAGGAGTGTCTGGGTCCCGGGCCTGGCTGCGTGGGGGCAGGGCCCTCCTCCTCTTCTCTAGGCCTTTTTAATGCTGAGGAGCTGCCCCAGCGCTTAGAGCAGTGGCTTCTTAGCAACCCTGGTGCCGCTTTGCATAATCAATGAGGCTTCTCCAGCCTGGGGCAGGAGTGGTGGGGGAGGTGGAGCTGACCTTCTGGGGGTTGCTCGCCACTCCTTATAACTGGCCTCTTCCCCACTCACCTCCATGTCTGCTCTTCTCCGCCTCCTGACATTCAAATGGCTGACTGGGGAGGAGTGGGGAAGGGAAGGGGCGTGTCATCAGCTGCCAGAGCCTGTGACCTGAGATGTCCCCGGCTCACCCGGAGTGGTTCTGCATTCTCTGCACGGCCGCGCGTCTGGGGCAGTCCCCGGGATGGAGTGCTCCTTCCTAGGGCCTGAGCCCCGCTTCCTGACGTCCTGGTGTCTGATGATGTCCTCCCTCTGCTTCTGTCCCCAGTTCTGGCATAAAGCATGCTTCCATTGCGAGAGCTGCAAGATGACACTCAACATGAAGAACTACAAGGGCTATGAGAAGAAGCCCTACTGCAACGCGTGAGTCCTGCCTCGGGCAGGGGCTGGGCGGGCACTTCGGCTCCCTCCCCGCTTCTTCCTTCCATTCTCATAACCACCGGCTGACATTGCTGGGCGCTTCCACACGCTGCCTGATAAGTATTAATCACATTCGTCCTCACCGATGCTGGTTGAAGTAAGGGCTGTTATTCCCATTTTACAGGGAAGGAAACTGAGGCTTGGGGAACGGAAGGGACTGTCCCAAGATGACATGGCTAGTGAGAGGCTAGTTCAAACCCAGTAAAGGGAGCAGGTTCTTTCCGCTGCACCTGCTGCAGGGTCTGTCAAGAATAAGTCACCTGCCCTGTTTCTGCCCAGTTGTGTTCTCTGCTTCGCCCTCCCTCCTTCCCCTCCCCATAAAGCTGCAGACTCTCTCCTTCCCTCACCCGCCTCCTCCCCAAGGGTCTGAGCACTAGGCTTTGGGGGCCCCTGGCCTCAGCCCTTCCTGGTCATTTTTTGAGAAGTAGGGCAGCATGAAGGTGTGGCCTGGCCTGGGGCAAATGTCTTCCCTACCTTGTGAGGGAAGCTGTGGAGTTGTCCTGGCCTCTGTTCCTTCTGCACTGGGACCTGCAGCCTAGCCTGCTGTGGGGAGGGGGGTCCCCCCATAACATCCCATGCAGTTCCAGAGAGGGCAGCACCTTCCATCTTCGGGCTGAGCTCAAGCGGAGCAAGTGCAAACCAGGCAAGTCCAAGCACGTACAGGACCTCACAGCCGTCCTAGCAGGTGGGGGCTTCGGAAGGTCAAGTCACTTGAAGTAGGTGGTCAGATCAGTATTCAAAACAGTTCGGTATCTGACTTGAGTCCAGGTTGTTTGTTTTTTAAAAATTTTCCATCCGGAGGCTCTTTGCAGCTGAAGTTCACCCAGGAGTAAAAATTTGGGACTTGTCTAAAAGGGATTGGGGCTTAAACCTGTTTGAAAGGCAGTTTCTCCCTTACTGCATCCCGCTCTCCTGCTAATACCCCACCCTCATCTCCTTGGGGGTTTGATCATTTGTCAGCATTTATTGCCTGCCGGCTGCTGCCTGCCAGCCTGTGCCAGGTGCTGGGGAAACAGATTTCTGATAAAATCTCACACCCAAGAAGCAGCACGAGTGTTGTCCCTTGTGGGAGGGATTAGGGACGCTGGGAAGGTTGCCTGGGGTAGGAGGAGGGTCACTGCTCTGTCCTGGCTCCTCCTTCAGCTGCCCCTTCTATTAGCTTCCACTGGTCCTCTTCCCCGTCCAACCCCTCCCACCCCCCCCAAGGGAAATGGGACATTCTTTGAATTCTTAAGGGCTCAACAGGAGTCCTGATTCTCTGCCACTTCCGCTTTCCCTTGGGGAGTCGGGTGGGGTTCAGCAAAGCCAGAGGCCAGGGCAGTTAACCCCTTGATTGCTGGACCACTTCAGGCTATGTTCTGGGCATGAAGGCTCCTTAGGGGACAGCTTCTTGAGCCTCCACCCCTCTGCCCCTCCAGGCAGAAGGCTGGCAGAGCCCTGAGCCTGGTGGGTGGCAGGGACCTATGCTTCTACACGTCCCTTCCTTAGACTCCAGTAGCCTAGAATTCAGTGAGCACTGGGAGTTGGAGAAAGAAATCAGAGGCTTGTCCTTGTTTTCTCTGCATTTTCTCAGCCTGCTGCCAAAGTCCCAGCTTACTTTTTCCACCCTCTTCTGGGGAGGCTGCAGCGAGTGGGGGTGGGGAGCAGGGTTTGGGAGCCCGGGGGAGGCAGAAGATGTCGCGCCTCTCCCTGAAGGCTGCTTCCCCTCTCTCTCCCCTGGCCCCCAGCCACCGAGGCAGGTTGACCCCTCTCTGTTCCCCCCCCACCTTTACACCGATAGCCTCTGCCTGCCCAGGTGACCTTCGGTCCAGCTGGGATGTTCTGTGGGAAGGAGCCTGGATGAGGGCTGAAGCTTGGGGGATTGTGGCCTGGCTGTGTCTCCAGCTGTAGTAGTGCCTTTTCCCAGGCGCTCACACTCCCTCAGCCAGTGTCTGCTGAGCAGCTGGTCTGTGCCGGCGCGCCAGACATGGGATTCCGGGGTAAACCAGACGCAAGCCTGGCCTGCAAGGAGTGCCCTCTGGACCTGTCTGAGCCTCAGTTTCCCCATGGTTATGAAATCCTACCCAGGGATGCTGGACCCTAGACCCAAGAGTACTGAGCACCTGCTGGGTGCTTGGCCCCGTGCTGAGTGTCCACTCCCATGCCTTCTTGTTTCTTCCTGCCTGCGGCCCCAATCTCCACTGACATTCAGCTTCCCGAATCCTGGGGTTTGCAGGGTGTAGCTTTGTCCCAATTCCCATTCTGGCCTTGCTTTGTGGACCTCATGTCTGCTTCATTCCTGGCAGCACCTCCTGCTCAGAACCCTGAGGAACAGGGAATGTCTCCCTGCACTTTGCCAGGGAGTTGGGCCCCCGGGGGCAGGAGCGTGTGGCTTCCATGTGCGGGGAGGCCTCTGCGCTCTGCCTGTCTCTGGCTGGTCCCTGAGCCAGGGTCTTGCAGGGGGTGGTCAAGAGAGAAGAAAGCTGTCTGTCTTTCCCCAGTGGCTTTTCAAGACAGATTTAAGTTGTGGAAAGTGACCGTAAGCAGCAAAAACGCCTCTTCTTGGGCTGGCCCGGTGGTGCAGCAGTTAAGTTCGCACGTTCCGCTTCTCAGCAGCCCAGGGTTCGCCAAAAGCCATGCTGTGGTAGGCGTCCCACGTATAAAGTAGAGGAAGATGGGCATGGATGTTAGCTCAGGGCCAGTCTTCCTCCGCAAAAAGAGGAGGATTGGCAGTAGTTAGCTCAGGGCTAATCTTCCTCAAAAAAAAAAAAAAAAGCCTCTTCTATTTCTCTCCTTGCACCAGATTTGTTTTGGGGCGAGGCAGGGGAGAGAACACAGACCAGAGCTCCCAGCTGGGCCCCCCAGCCCGTGGTAAACCTCCACAGACAGGCACTTACTCCCTTTCCTGGTGCGTACCCAGACGCACGTGCCGCCAGGCAGGGGATGGGGAGAAGTGCCCGAGAGTCGAATTCAGTGCGCTGTGTTTGTGTTCACACTTCCTAGGCCAGAGCCACCCAGGCCTTGCTATGGCAAGCTGGAGGTGTGCGTGCCTGCTTTGGCACAGTAGCCAGCAGTGGAAGAACCACTATTAATCTCATTCTTTCTTGAGGCTTCTAGGTAGGTGAGGTGCTTGATTGGTTAGAGGAATATTCATGTCCTTGATTATTTGTTTCATAAGCTACATTTTCAGAAAGTGAAAGTGGGGCAGATGTGTCCACACAGACAAACCTGCCCCTTCATCTCCTTGCCGATGGTCTGGGAGTCTGGAGGTCAGGGGCCGGTGGGGGTGGGAGAAATGTGCCAGTTCCCTCCTCCTCGAATGAATCAGTGTGGGGGGCCGGGGCACGAATCAGCGGAGGCTGCAGACCTGAGGTGGCTTTACAGGCCAGGGAACCAGTTTTGGGGTGTCAATTGGGGAGTGGACATGGGCCGAAGAAGAAAGAGGGGTCCTCAATTGCAGCCTGCCCCTCTCTGCTGACTGCGGATATCTGGGGTCTGCCCTGCAGTTTCCTTGAGCTGCAGGCTGAGGGGTTGAGGAGGATGGAGGTATCTCTGGTGAGCCAGGGCTGTGGTCCTGCTCCTTCCCCTGGGCCTCAGAGAGTGGGCTGCGGCCCTGCCTGGTGGGGCTGGGTGCTCGAAATGTCTCTGGATTCTAGCCAGCTGTCTTGAATTCCAGCTGCTCTTAGGGGCTGGGGCAGTAATGGGCAAATCTAGGACTGGGGCCTGGGGCTTTCTTGCCTTTCCAGAATTCTCTGCCTCTGTCTGGGAAAAATGGGATCAGATGTCCTCGGGAGCTGGGGTAGCACCTGGAGTGGGAGTGGAGGGGTGTGTGTTTGGGATGGGTGAGGCAGGCTCAAAGGGGCATCCACAGTGGCCAGATGTGGCCTCTAGGCAGCCCCTGCACCTCCCACTCCAAAATCCTTACTCTCAGAGATGTCAGGGCCTTAAGGAACCTCGCCTCACTTTGCTTCCTGACTCCTCTGTTTTGTAGATGAGGAAACTGAGGCCCAGGGTTTCCATGCCTTACTCAACTTGGCAGAATCATTTCTCTTTATGTATTGTCATCAGGGGCAGGTTCCGGCTTTGATTTTTTATTTTGTCTGCAACCCCTGAGGTCTGATAAGTTCTTCTTCACGTCTAGCCTTGATCTTTCTGGCTGCTCATTTTTTTTCTCTAGTCAAACAATGCCTCTTTGTTGCTTCCTATCCCCACCATTTCAGCCCCTCAGGCCTGGGGACTGGTGAGAAGCTGGGTTGGAAGGGAGCCCTCCCTGCTGCCCGCCTGCCCGCCTGTGGGCAGTGTTCCCAGCGGGGGAATCAGCAGCTCCTTCCAGAGACAGGATGTAGGGGCTGTTTTGGTTTTTTTTTCCCTTTTGGTAAAACCAAAGGCTCCTTGTTGCTTTTGTTGATGTAGTTTTGTTCCTCCTTGAACAAAAAGCTGTGGTTTTTGAAGGGGTCCCAGGCTGGAAGGGGCGAGGTTGCGTGTCGAAAGGGGGAGCCGGGCTCTCAGGATGTCTGGTCTGTTCTTGTTCTGCCTCTGGGACGCAGCTGATGGCAGCGCCAGGAGTGCCCTGCAAGTTGTCCCTGTCACCAGGAAGCCCCTAAGCAAGAGCCTTGCAGCTTCTCACCTCCTCCCTGTCCTCATAGTCCCTCAGAGCACGAAGGGGACTCCGAAGTCTGCAGGGATAACCCACGAGGGGAGGGGCCCTTCTCCTGCGTCCCCACAGGTCCTTGTCTGGACTCTTCGGACACCTGCTTTAGAAAAGGTTTAGGGAGTAGGTGGCTTCTGACTGGGGGTTCTTTTGTAATGGCCGAGCTTGGAAACTGGTTGGGTTTGGAAGATGAAGGACTTTGTTCTCCACCCACCCTGCCACGCACATCCTTCCTAGAACCCTGACGGCTGGGGGTGTACCGGGGTCCCCCTGAGAGACAGATGTCAGCTGCCCTTAGCTGGCGGCACAGCTGTGGTGTAGGGGAGGGTGCAGTGGGCAAGGTCTCTGTCCTTGACGCTGAGCCTCAGTTTGTTTATCTGTGAAGCAGGCACGGTGATAACGCCTGTCTTTTCTAGCCCAAAGCCTTATGGCGGATTTCAAGAGAGAATGTGCACAGGATACAGTATTTCAAGAAGTCACTTTTTGTGCCTGTCAGTTCTCCCAGAGGCCTAGGCTGCTGCCAACAGCTGCTTGATAGCCCTGCCCCATCCCTGTTCTCGCCCTCAAGGATGCCAGATCCCTTCCGCTGCCCCCAGGCTTCCTGTCCTGGGGGCTCTCTCCATGCCTCTCTCTTCCCCAGAGTAGCTATCAAGGGTGGGGAGGGGTATCAGCAGAGGGCCCACCCCTTGGAATAATTAACAAGGGCGGGTGCAGGCTGGCCCACAGAAGGGACAAATAACAGCTGTGCTCTGGACCGAGCTCCAGGCCAGGATTGGGACGCCCGCTTCTCCCCACCCTGGCCTCTTGTTCTCTCACCATGGCCCAGTCTGTTGGTGGGGCTGGGGTTCCAGTGGGGTCACTAGCCGGGGCAGGTGGCCCCTCGTCTGTCTCAGTGCCTACATTGGCGTACACATGCATCCATTCATCTCACCTGGGATCTGAGGGTGATGCGGGGGCAGCTTCACTCCGAGGGCAGAGAGGGAGGGAAAAGGTAAAATTCCCAGCAATTGTTTCTGGAAAGAGGTCAAATCAGTTGGAGCCCTCTTCAAGGGCAGTCATGTTGGTGGGGGAGGGGCCCAGCACTAATATTCTTGTCTCCTCCCTGCTAAAAACAAACCGGTGGCACCTGTCTGCCTCATCTAAATTGTCTGCAAGCATCCTACAGACACAGTCTCCTGGTTTTGCCCTCGTGGGCTCCTCCGCTGTTGAGGACACCCTTGCTGTCTGTGTCTCTTCCCCCACCCCCACAGACTCTCTCTGCTGCTCTGGCTGCTCTCCAGCCTGGAGCTGAAGATGAGGTTGCCATGGGAACCTGAAGCGCAGCGAGCAGGGGAAGGAAAGGCAGGGTTGTCTAGCCAGGGCTGGGGACTGTGGGGAGGGACAGAGTTGACCTAGCAGGAGGAACATAGCTGGTGCTGCGTGTCTGCCTTCTGCTGGCCTGGGCTTGGGGTTTAGGAGGTGGGGGTACGAGACTGGAGGCTCTGGATCTCCTCTTTAATCTGGTTAATCTGATGCAGGATTAACGCCCCCCTCCTCCTCCTGCAGGATTAAGTCGAGTCGACATCTAGGCTGGTCCCCTCTTCCTTTCTGATGGAATTAGTGTTCTGGCTGTAGGGGGCTGAGATCTGGGGGGTCACAGAGGCTCCAAAGAGAGGGTGAAATATTCGCCAACCCCATCTAGAGGCACTGCATTTAGGGGGGTCTCCTGAGACCCTTCTGGTGGAGTGTAGGGGGTGTGTGAATGTGACCTGTAATGTGAACTGTCACGTGTGGACTTGCTGGCCTCAGTGCAGGAGACATGCGTCGCTGCAGAGAGCCCGTCTGTAGATTCATCGTGTGTGAGGGATAACAGCGTGTGTAGGAGCAGGGCAGGGGCGCGTGTCGGGTGCATGTGTGTGGCTGTCCTTGGGCCACTGGAGTTGTCACTCCCTTTTCACCCTGTACAATCAGGCAAGTGGGAAACCCCAGGTTTGCAGACTGGCTCCCGAGCACATGTATTTGCCAAGCCGGCCAGCCACCCTTCCCCACCAAATGCTCCCCAGCGCCATCTTCTCAGAATTGACCCTTCGGGCTTGGGGCCAGAGCTGCCCTGGAGGTCTTCTCCTCCGTCCCCTGCTTCAGGACCTAACCTCCCTCTGCCACGAGTCTCTACTTACAGACGCTCTCCTCACCACACCTGCCACCCCATGATGCTTTCAGAATGCTCTGATTTGGTGGGAGGGTCATCCCTGAACCCTCCCTCTTAGGACCTCTGGGCCAGCCAGTTCTGCTGGAGATCTTACTTAGATCTCTCCTGCTAGTCTCTTTCTGGTCTCTGGGAGCAGACTCCTGCTTGATCCTCCCTTTCTCTGGAACTGCAAAGGAGTTGTGAATGGAGCTCCTCAGCTGTGGGTGCCCTGGCTGCGTGGACCCAGGCCAAGCCTGGGGGCTGGGCCCACAGCCTTAGCTTCACCTTCATCCCTGGGCCATTTCCATTGCCAGCTGCAGGCACCTGTGTTGGCTTTTCAGTCTCCTCCCTCTCTCTCTCCCTCCCTCTGCTGGAGGAGCTGCGGGCCTGGGCTGACCTGGGAGGCAGGACCCAGGTGGGCAGTGGAGGCTAAAGGGAGGGGCACAGCTGGCGTCACCTAGGTCCAGGACAGTGAAACTAGCCCAGAGGGAAAAGGATTTGCCAAAGTCACCCAGCGACTCCGTGGCAGGGCCAGAGCCTAGCCCTGTGCCCTTTCTAGTCACACCCCCCTTTAGTTTAGTTCACCAAACCGCACGTCCTGCCCTTCGTAAGTGGTGGCCGAGGGCTGTGTTAACGGGTAGCTCTGGCTCAGGGTGGTGCAGGCGGCTGGAGAACACGCCAGGTTTGGTGAGCGCTCAGAGGCAGGAGGGCAGCTCACATCCAGCTCCAGGGCCAGGGCGGCACATGCCTGGAGGGAGGCCGTCCATGTCTTACCTGGGGACAGCCTGCGAACCAGGCATCTGCCGGTGGTCACAGCTGTGATGGGGTGTGGTCACCTAGGGCTAAAAATGGCCGGAGCTCGGCTCCTGCTCAGAGAAGCCGCCCACCAGTCTCTGAAATAGTTGAGAGCCGTGTGGAGCCCCAGCCGCTTCACATGCCAGTAGAGACACACAGACCGCAGTGACTCAGGCTGCCTCTCCTCTGGCTGATTTGCTGGGGGACTTTATGAGACCCGGGGGCGTGGAGGAGGTCCCAGTGCTAGTCCCAGCCTAGCCTCAACACCTGGCGTGACATTTGTTTATTCAACAAATATTTATTGAATACCAGCTTGGGAGCTTGGGATAAATCAGTGAACCAGAGGAGCTTGGGATAAATCAGTGAACAAAAGAGACCAAAAAATGCCTCAGCTCATAGAGAAGTAGTGGAGAGAGAAGACAGGAAACCGATGTGATGAAGAAGTTAATTATGAAGTCAGTGAGGTGCCCGGTGCCAGCCCGCTGTTCCCTCCTCTGGGAAATGAGGGCTTGGACCGGACGGTCCTGGAGGTCCCTGCAGGCCCAACTCTGAGGGCTGCCCTGGTTCTTGCTACCTCCACGCCAGCCCTCTTTCTGGGGGACAGACCCCTGGTCTGTCCTGTGTCTGGAGATTGGAGGGTTTGGTTCAGGCTCCTGGGCCCTGGGGGGATGGGGTGCGAGTCTAGATGCCACCACTTACTGGCCTGTGCCTTGGCCACGTTGTTTAACCTCTCCGAGCCTCACTTCTCCTACCTGTCGAAGGAGATAATAGGGCAGTTTTGAGAATTTGATGAACTAAGACATGTATGCCCTTAGCACAGGGCAAATATCAACTGTTGTTACAGTGTTGTCATCTGTCACCCGAGCGTGACCTCTTTTCTGACCTCAAGCTTATCTCTTGCCTCCCCTCCAGTTAAGTTGGACCTTGTTAGCTATTTGAAACACAACTGGATGTGCGCATTTTCTCTCTCTCACCACCTCCTCCAGGAAGCTCCCCTGGATACATGTGTCCCTTTCTCCTTTACTTCTGTCTCTGTATCCCTCCTGGCTTCCTCTGCCTGGTTGGTCTCCCTGTCTGGTCTTAGGTTAAAGCTTTGTCTTGACCCCATGCCCATTCTCCCCAGTCTGGCTGGGCCCTCCTGGGCGGTAGATTCTAAGGCATGGATTATCCTCAACAAGGGTGATCTGAAACCCACAGACAGTGTCCCCATGGCCTCCCTTTGGCTCAGGACAGTTCTCCGTGGCCGGCCAGCCACTCGGGCCTGATGTGTCTTCCCAGGTCAGCCCAGGCTGAGTCTGAGAAATGCTTGCTTCCCCTCGGCCGTGGGCCATGGATGGTGGTCCTGCTGCCGGGGCAGGGCCAGGGGCTGCCCACAGCTAAGAGGAAGTTGCCGGGAGAGAGTCAGGTCCATGAGAAGCCTAGAGGGTCATGCCCCTTCGCCACAGTAACCCCCACTCTGCTTTTTCTGTCCTGCAGACACTACCCCAAGCAGTCCTTCACCATGGTGGCTGACACCCCGGAAAACCTCCGCCTCAAGCAACAGAGCGAGCTCCAGAGTCAGGTGAGGGGGCGGGGCTGGCGCCGTGGCCTGGCAGGGAGGGGGGCTGTTGTAACCCCTGGATTTGGCAAGGGCCCCCTCCCTCTGTGGTTACTCAGCAAGGCCAGGATGCGGAAATCCTAGCACTTGCCCTACCTCCCCTCCCCCGGTTGCTTCATATTTCCTGACTTTATCAAAGGAGCGTGGGAGAGCATGCTCCCCTTCCTACCTAAAGTGGGTTGAGGGGTGTGGGTGTCTGATTCCTTCTGCTCTGGGAGATTTCACCTCGGGCTCCTGAAGACCACCTCTTCTAGGAAGCTGTTCCCTTCTTCCTCTCCGCTCACACCCACCCTCAAAGGAGGGAACCCACCTCTCCAGGCTCATGCCGGTCTGAGGCCACACAGCCCCGCTCTGCAGTCCTCTCCCCAAGCCCCTCCACGCCTCAGAGGGTAGGTTGTGAAGGGGAGCTTGCCTGGGGGTCTCTCGTGCCTTTGTTTCCTTGGGCCTGATTTTCCTCAGTGCCTACTGGGTGGGTGGGGTGGACACGGCTGCAGTTGGGGAGGAGTCGGGGATCCTGTCCTGCGGAGGCCGTGAGGAACAAGAGAAAGGTCCAGAGCCCTGAGACCAGAGCAGCTAACCCTGCCTAGGGCTCTGGGGGGGCTTCTGGGACAAGCCTGGCCTGGACTGGGGGTGGGGTGGGGCGGGGCTTCAGCAAAGACTCCTGGGGAGCCTAACCAAGAGGGCAGGGCGCCCAGGGCCAGGAAAGTGTTGTGGAGGATCCACCTGGGCCACAGAGGGGATCTGATGCCTCCAGAGCGGGGCTCCGACTGCCTGATCTTGATGTCACCTCCCTGGGTCCCTGGCTCCCAGTAGGTCACATGAGGGTGAGCCAGCCCTGCACCGCCTGGGGCTTCGCATGCATTCTTGCATTTAACCCTCCAGCCACCCTGTGATGGGAGGGGCTGTTTTTCCCATTGTACAGATTAGGAAACCAAGACTGTGGACGTGAAGGGACTTGCTAAGATCATAGAGGTAGCAGCAGAGATAATAGCAGTATTGACAGCTGACGTAGTAATTGCTTAATGCTCTGAGCATATCAGCTCAGTCGTTCTCGCAACGGCCCTGTGTAGCTGGCAGGATCATCCCCACTTCACGCAAGAGGAAATGGATGCTGATGACTTTGAATGCCCTTCCGTCTAACTCTGGGACTTGCACTCTTTCCAGTTTTCCATCCAGCTCCCTAAGGAGAACTGTCTCTACCTTCATAATAAACACGATAGTCCCTTAAGCTGGTGAGAGCTTTTGTAGCTTAGCAAGTGCTTTTGGTTCCTTTGCCTCATTTGTCCTTGACCCTGCTCTGGGGAGCTGAGGCCAAGAGACACACACAGTAAGTGAGGTCTTCGCTTCCAAGTACAGTGACCTTGACCGTGTGCAGCCGGGGTGGGGTTTGAGGCTCAGGCCTCCCATGTGTCCCACAGTGATGGGGAGCAAGTGAGGAAAGCTAGTTTCTCCCTCGCAGCAGCTCATAGATGTCAGCCCGGGTGGGCCCCCCCGCCCACACACACACACTGTGGCGGGAAAGCTGCCGTTCCTGGGGAGCGGGTGTAGATACCAGACCTTGGCCAAGAGGAGGGCTGGGTGGCCCAGTGGGCAGGAAGAGGGTAGAGACAGCCTGGGGCCTGGGCCTGGTCTGCACAAGAAAGACCGGCCCAGGCTCCCCATCCTATAGGGAGCCCACTAGGGCCAGGGGTGGAGGGGGCTTCACAGCGCAGGCAGGCCAGAGCATCGCAGGGCAACCTGTACTCACCCCATAGCTTGAGAGGGCGGTCAGAACCCTGAGTGCTGGGACCTGGGACCTGGAGGAAGCAGTGGGGGCGGGGGGGGGTAGCGGGTCTTTGGGAAGGTGCAGGCCCAGAGGTGTGGGATTGTGTGCACACGCTCAGGCAGGGGCAGGAGACACAGACCCACAGCCCTGCTTTCAGGAGGGGGAATTCAAACCGCCCAATTCTCTCCCCCTTTGCTCTTTTTGCCCCTGGAACCCGATCCCTGAGGGGCGGGGTCTGTGGAAGGAAGCCCCTCCTGCAGGGGGTCTGAAGGCTTCCTGGGCACCCTGCGCTCCCTGCTCCTTGGGGGGCCTGGGCCCCTGCTCGCCTCCTGGGTTTCCAGGCCCCTGGCTCTCAGGCAGGCTGGGGACATCATGACGGTGGCAGTCACTCTTCCTTAGGTCCTCACTCAGGGCCAGGCCCTGACCTCAGTGAAGCCTCACATCCTCCTGAGGAAGGAGGACATGGTTATCCCCGTTGTGCAGAGGGGGACACTGAGGTTTAGAGGCCACGCCACTTGCCCTGAGGCGGACGTCAGCCCTTGGTTCTTACGGTTCTGCAGCCACAGCACCAAGCCCTGGCTCTCGGGCCGCAGGTGCACACATCACCAGTGGGTCTGGGGGCTTGTAGAAGGCAGTCTCCACCAAGGGGCTTTTGGTTGGCAGTTGTTGGTGGGACCCCGGACTCCTTGGGGCTGGGGCTGGGGTAGGCTGACAGCAGAGGCAGGGGCCCTGCCCACCTGCAGGCCTGGTTTTGCCTCCCATCGCCTCCCCAAGCTGTGCGGTCTACGCCTGACCACCCGCCTTGCAGTGTCTCTCCTCCTGGTAAAATGGGGACAGCAAGCCCAGCTGCCTGGAGGGCTGGGGCTGGGCCCGATGCTCTGAGGCTTGGAAGGGCTGAGTGGGCCTGGCTGGGGGTGGTGACAGGTTCTGGTTCCTGAGGCCCCTGTGGGGGCAGGGCCGGCTGGAGCCGCCTGTGCTGGCAGGAAGGGAAGTGGGAGCCCGTCTGCCGCCCTGCCCCACCCACAGGGCGTTGGCTGCTGTCTTTCCAGGGTCCCCTCCTGGGCCTGCATCATGCGGCTCAGCCCCTCTCAGTCTCTGGGAAGCTGCCTGTGCTATTTCAACTTTGTTTTCCTATCTCTAGATTGGTTCCCAAAATGGTACTTTGGGTGTCTGGGACACCTGGAACCTCCCCTGGGGGGGAGGTAACCACAGCGCTGACCAGAAATGACCCTCTGGGTGGTCCTGCCCAGGCCTGGCTGAGCCAGGGAACTGACAGCTGGGGCCCAGCTGCCCGCCACCCCCCCCACCCCCACCCTGCAGCTGTCCCACACCACCCCCCAGCCCCAGGCTGAGTAGATGCAGCAGCTTTGGGCTGGGGCTGAGCTGGGGGTGTCTGTGCAGCCCCCTCAGCTCAGGCAGAAGTGCAAGGAGAAGGTTCCTTTTCATTTTTTCCCTCATCGTCACACCTCTACCGTCCTGTGCTGTCCCAGCACGGTGTGGGAAATGCCACAGGGGACAGGACAGTGCAGCAGAGCCCCGCGCCATGCCCTGCGACAGAGTTCCCGTTCTCCTATCTTGGATCCTGTGACCAGCAAGGCATACGCATGTCACTCTTGCCTGAGCTGGCTGAAGGTCAAATCCTAGATCTGCCACCACTAGCTGTGTGACCTTGGGCAAGTTATTTAACCTCCCTGAGCCTTAATGCTTCATCTGTAAAGTGGGGATTACCTCTCTCCAAGGGTTGTGAGGATGTTAGTATATATGAGGCATTTAGAACAGTTCCTGACATAGAGCTGGCACCCAATAAATGTTTGCTATTGCTGTTCTTCTGGAAAGGAGAGGAAATGCAACTTGGGCATGATGAAGCTGAGGAATGGACCTTTTTTTTTTTTATTAATGTTATGATAGATTACAACCTTGTGAGATTTCAGTTGTACATTTTTGTTAGTCATGTTGTGGGTACACCACTTCCCCCTTTGTGCCCTCCCCCCACCCCCCCTTTTCCCTGATAACCACTGATCAGATCTCCTTATCAATATACTAACTTCCACCTATGAGTGGAGTCATATAGAGTTCGTCTTTCTCTGACTGGCTTATTTCGCTTAACATAATACCCTCGAGGTCCATCCACGTTGCTGTGAATGGGCCAATTTTGTCTTTTTTTATGGCTGAGTAGTATTCCATTGTGTATATATACCACATCTTCTTTATCCAATCATCAGTTTCTGGGCATGTAGGTTGGTTCCACGTCTTGGCTATTGTAAATAATGCTGCGATGAACATAGGGGTGCAACGGACTCTTGAGATTTCTGATTTCAGGTTCTTAGGATAGATACCCAGTAATGGGATGGCTGGGTCATAGGGTATTTCTATTTTTAACTTTTTGAGAAATCTCCATACTGTTTTCCATAGTGGCTGTACCAGTTTGCATTCCCACCAACAGTGTATGAGGGTTCCTTTTTCTCCACAACCTCTCCAACATTTGTCGCTCTTGGTTTTGGATGTTTTTGCCAATCTAACGGGTGTAAGGTGATATCTTAGTGTAGTTTTGATTTGCATTTCCCTGATGATTAGCGATGATGAACATCTTTTCATGTGTCTATTGGCCATATGAGGAATGGACCTTTTGATGATGGCTCCCAGAACTGGCCATTTTCATTAGCTCTTCTCCCCATCTGCGTGTGTCTAATTGTAAAACTGATTTCTTGTTTGGTAGAAGGGGCAGGTTACCTAGTATGTGGGCCCAGCACATAGTAGGCACTAATAAGTGGAAATTGTTGGTATAGTATTTTTTTTTCAATAATTTATTTTTTTTAAAGCCATGACCTTTCCCGCTTCTCTTGGGTCAGCGAGGCAGTTATTTTCCAAATTCTGCCGCCTGTTTGTTTGGGGATTTTGTCTCTTCAATTCATTCATCGTTTGCCCAGTAAATACTTATTTGTACCTGCTGTTTGCTGGGTTGCTTGACAAACAGGAGAGATCCAGGGAGAATAATTAATAGATCTACATATAAAAAGGAGAGTTTTGTTGGCCAGGGTGGTTTGGGCCTGAGGACCCTCAGGTGTCAGTCCTGGCCCTGCCTTGGGCGCGTCCAGGGTGGAGGCCCAGGCAGCTCCCAGGCAGGGAGTCGTCCGACCACAGCGCTGAGTTGCACCCAGACCCTACCAACAACTGGGTTGAGTGACCTTGGGCAGGTCCCTTCCCGCCTCAGAGACCCCTGTCACTTCCTGGTGAGCTATCCCACATGAGGGCCAACACTCCTGCTTGGGTGACAAGGGAGCCCTGTTGGAGGGACTCTGGGCAGGGCCCTTCCCACGCTCCTGGCTCCTCACCCTTTACCCCTGCCACCTGCTCCAGCACCAAACGGCCTCTCGAGAGTCCTCCCCACCTAGATTCTCCATAATGAGGGCCTGCAGGTGCTTAAAAATGGTCACCAACTCCAGAGCTGGGAGGGCTTTTAGAGATAGCTGAAAAGCCTGCTGATCAGGGGACCCAGAGAAGGAGACTGACTTGCCTAGGGACACACAGCAAAGTGGTGCTGAGCCCAGGCTCCCACCCTTTCTCGGCCCCACTCCACCCAGCTCCGCCCTGCCGTCTCTGGGCCCCCTGTGCCAGGAGTGGCATGAGTTATCCTTCCCCAGCAGGGAGGGAGAGGCAGCTCCTGAGCCTGGGAACCAGCTGATGTCATTGCAGTGTTGCCATGGTGATTATTCCCCTGGATTAGGGGCCTGACCCTTCGAGGCCAGGAAGTGGAGGAAGGAGTGGAGACTGGCAGTTCTTCAGCACTTTAGTGTTGACAGAGCACTTTCACACTTGGGCATCGGTACATGCTGAGCCCTGCCGTGTGCTGCTTCAGAGCTGCTGAAGTCTGCACCATTGATTGGAATGGGTGGTACTGTGATCCCCATTTTACAGATGTGGAAGCTGAGGCCTGAGAGATTACATTATTGGCCCAAGATCGCTTAGCAAGGGTCTCCGGGGAGACTGAGCCTGGCTTAGTACCAGCTCCCTCTGGCTCTTTGCCCATGCTTGGTGATAGGAAGCCCCCTCCCCATATTTTAACTGATTCTTATGGCAACCGTTTTACAGTTGAGGAAACCTAGGTGGGAGGTTTTGGATTTGGGGCTTCTGCATCTGGAGCTCCGTATTTTTGCTTCTAAGTGCCTTGCCTTCCCTGATGCCCCCTTCCCAGGGTTCCCCCCAACACTAATTGTCGCCTGCTGGCCAGGCCTTCCTGGAAGAGCTGATGCTGGGCTGTCCTGGGCCCTTGGGTGGGTTGGTACCTGTACCCACTGTGTTAACTTCTGGTCTGGTGGGAACTGGCACATCCAGGCCTTTGTTTTTAGTCTGGATCAGAACAAAGGAGGTTCTGGAACCTTTTAGGAAGAAGAACCCCATGGATGGGTGAGCCAAGGCTCCAGGGGATGAACAAGGACCCCTGACCCCTGGCAATGTACAGAGGAACTGACAGGTGTGGCCATGGCTACGTTCGTGTGTGCTGTCGGTCGGGTCAGAGTACAGCTCAGCGCTGCGGCCAGATGCTTCCATGCCTGGGAGCTGCCTGGGCTTGTCATCCTGGAAATTCCCAAGGTCCCAGGCCTCATGTCCTGGGCTGACCTGCTTCCAGGACAGTGCAGCCCCCATGGAGGAAATCCAGGCAGCTGGTGGGGTTTGGAACAGCTGGCTGCCGAGGTGGACAGTGAAGGCTCTGGAAGCCAAGGAACATTTCTCTGTCTCATGGGCATTTCCAGCCTCCATTCTGTTCTTCAGAACACCTAGGGGAGGACAAGACAGTCCTCGTATTTCAGTTTCTTTAGAGTTCAGAAGTCCTTTCTGATGTCTGACTTGAGTACTCGAGTTTCGGTGGAATTCTCGGAAGAGACGGGCAGTGGTAGGGTGGCAGGGCCTTTCCCCTGAGCTTGGAACCCTGTTCTGAAGTGCTGTCTGTCCCCCACCAATTTCATCCCCTCCCGTGGCGTTGACCTCAGAAGCTGGCCTGGCAGGCTCCAGGAAGCCACTGGGGCCTGTCAAAGGCTCATTGATTGAGTTTTCAGAATGGCTGTCTCACCGCCCTCCTTTCTGGACGCCAACTTTGTCCCTTGGCACAGCTCTCACTCAGCTGGTCGCTTAGAAACTCCCCCGGCCTCTCCGCGGGTAGGGCTGCATCCTGCCTAGGGTGAGGGCCGGGCGGTCTTTGGAGCTCTGGAAAGAATCTTCTTCCTATAGCTTTCAGGCAGGATGGGCCGGCGGGGAGGGATCAGGAGTTAGGCAGGCAAGGGTTTGCATCCTGGGGCTCTGGACCTTGGCTGCTAAGCTGTGTGACCTTGAGCATGAGACTTTGTCCCTCTGTGGCTCAGTGTCCTTTTCTGTAAAATGGAGCTAATGATGGTGTATAGTAAGACTCAAATGGGACAGTGTGTGTAAAGCATCTGGTGTGGGGCCTGCCACTCCCATTGTACTGTATACATACTCGTGGGTTATTATTATTAGTCTGACTCTTTTTGGCCAAGGCTTCTGCTTTGAGCTGGGAAGTGGATGTCCCTACAGGGGGGATTTCCGTCAGGGTCTCTCTCCTGGCCAGTTGCTGCCTCAGAGGTGGCCACAGGCCGGGGCCCCCTCTGCTCCTGCTGGCTTGACTCCAGCCCCCTCCTCGGCCCTCCAGGTGCGCTATAAGGAGGAGTTTGAGAAGAACAAGGGCAAAGGCTTCAGCGTGGTGGCGGACACGCCCGAACTCCAGAGAATCAAGAAGACCCAGGACCAGATCAGCAACGTAAGTGCCCCTGCTCCCCGTGCTTCCCACGTTGACCACTGCCCTCCCTTCCCGTTGCCTCCCTGCCAGTCTGGCAGACATGAACGAGGCCAGTTCCCAGTTCTCTGTGGCCCTGCTCTCCTGGGCGGGCCTGGCTGGCAGCTGCTTGAGCAGAGGGAAGGGAAGGGTTTGGAGTTCCCACATGCCTTTCTCTGTGCACCCCCGGACTCCCCTTTGCCACCCTCCGCCCACATGGCATTTCCACCTTGAAAGGACTGTACTTTTGGGGGGGGTGCAGGGAGGGTCTTATGTGCCGAATCAACCTCCCCCACTCTCTGAAGTTTTTTTTTTCCTGGTTATGGTGGGTGTTAGGGTCCAGACTGGCTGTTTTGTCTGAGCAGAAAGGTCAAAACTGGGTGGCAGAGGTGGGGAGGGGCTGGCCTCCCCCTTGTCTGCCTCTGGGTGCTGACTTGTAGTCATTTCCGCCCTCCCCCAGCCTCCTCCCCCACCTCGCTTGCTCTTCCTTCCTGTGTAAAAACCCCAGCCAGCTTTGCCCGCTGGCCCCGCACGCCCTGGCCTGGGCCCTCCTGGGCCCAGGACAGTCAGCACTGGCTGTGGCAGGGCTGGGTGTGGAGAGTGGCTGCTGGATCCACAGGCCCCATGGCACCTGTGGCCAGGGAATAGGCCTTGATTTCCTGCTTGGCAGAGCCACAGATCAGCAGCCTTGTGGCTCTGGGCTTGTGGGGAGGCTGCCTAGAGGGTTCGGGTATGTGGGGGCAGGGCACTGCTGTGAGCCACAAGCACAGGATATGGGCCACAGGCCAGAGGATGGGTCCTGGGCACAGAGCGGCAAGGTGTGCCCAACCAGCCTGGGCTATGAGGTCCTACAAATGAAGGATTAGGCAAGCGGTTGTCTTCATATTGGTAACAAGAAGGGGTTGGTGAGTTGCGCAGTGTCACTCTGAGCTCAGGGACTCGGGATGGAGGCTGGGAGAGGGCCTGGGTTTCAGGTAGCCCACCTGGCATCTGCCCCCTGGGCTCCACATCCCTCCCCACCCCTCCACCCAGCCTCCTTGGTAGGGTGCTCCTTCTAGAAGTTGGCTGGGCTCTGCTTAGAGTGGATTCCAGCAGTGGCTCAGGGGGGTTTCGTGAGCCAGGGCCCAAGCCAGTAGAACCAGCCATGGCCCAGTCTGTGGCTGTCGAACTTTGACTGCAACCGACAATGTGAAATACATTTTACACCAGGACCCCCGAAACAGGCGTGTTTGTTCACTTAGAGAGAAAACAGGATCAAAACTTCGGTGAAGGAGTCCCTACTACTTGGAGTGCATTCAGATATTTTCTGTTGTGTTTTGTTTTGTAAAGATGCTGGTTGAGCCTCAGCTAAACGGTTGTTTACCCGTTACACAACCAGGTTGTTGACCCGCAGTTTGAAATGTGTTGCTTGAGGAAATGGAGTGCTTCCCTTGGGCTGGGAGGACATGTCCCTGAGGGCTGTAATCCTTCTCCCCCACCAAACAAAAGCCTGTCTCAGTTGCTTCTTCATCAGCCTGGGCCTGGCCTCACCCCTGGAGCTTCCCCCATGTTGCCCAGACCTCCCAGGGGTAAAGAAGGGGTAAAGGACGTGCTGTGTCTTGGAGGACCTTAGAGGTGTGTGTCTGCAGGAAGGGAGGGAGGGGAGGCCTTGGGTGATGGGGAGAACCTGGGATGGCTCACAAGTGGGATCTTGACTCTTCCGCCTCTGTGGCTTTTTACTGTGAAGACTTGCCTTTTATCGGATGCTTGCTCCCCGCCTACCATGCCAATACCCCTACATTCGCTCGTTGCTTCCAGCCTGTGGGTTTTAGAGGGGGAGGAGACAAGCAAACCCAGTCATCCCTGCCTCCCTTTCAGGAAGGCTTCCAGAATACTCCACTTCCAGCCTATTGCACCCACTCTTCTTCCCTCCCCCGCACTGGTTATTGGAGGGGTTGTCTGAGGAGCCCTAGTAACAGAACTCAGTGCGGCTGAGACATCCACACCTCCGGAGATAAGCATCTTCTCCTTAACCACAGGGCTGCAATTAGCTGATTGTCCTCTGCTGGGAGATGGGGGAGGTGGCTTGAACCTGACCTGCTTCTGCTTTTGCAGCTTCAGCTCGGGCCTGTGAGGTGTGACCACAAAGCTGGAAGGCTCGGGTTTAGTGAACGCAGTTAGTCTGTCAAACGCGGGCCTCCAAACGACTGGACTAGAATCGCTGGGGAAGGTTTATTGAACCTGTGGGCTCGCAGGCCTCCTCCCCAGGCCACCTGAATCAGCATCTCTGGGAGGGTGGCCCAGGAACCAGCATTTTAAACACATTCCCTGGGTCGCTGTGGTGCTCACTGAAGTTTGAGAATCATCACCTAAGAGTCCGAAAAAGCTTCCCCAAGCCCTGAGTGAGAGGCGCCAGGCCTGGCCGCACCCCAGAACCCCCAGGGAAATTTAAACCACACTGAGAGCCATTAAATTGTCCCACCTCCAGAACCGTTGTGGGAAAGATGGTGCTGAGAGCCACTCTTTTTGTTTTGTGTCCAAAATAGTGTTCCTGTATGTAGCTTGTCACTCACTTCCCAGGTTAGCACCAAATGACTCCTGGCAGTTCCCAGAGGTCAGACCATCCTGCAAAGAGATGAAGGTTTGCCTCCCTGGAGGAATATGCCGCAGACTAGAGGGTTTACCAGCGAGAGCATTTTAGAAACAAGTGTCTGGGGCCGGCCTGGTGGCGCAGCGGTTAAGTGCGCACGTTCTGCTTCTCGGCAGCCCGGGGTTCTCTGCTTCGGATCCTGGGTGTGGACATGGCATCGCTTGACAAGCCATGCTGTGGTAGGCGTCCCACGTATAAAGTGGAGGAAGATGGGCACAGATGTTAGCTCAGGGCCAGTCTTCCTCAGCAAAAAGAGGAGGATTGGCAGCAGTTAGCTCAGGGCTAATCTTCCTCAAAAAAAAATTTTTTTTTTAATATTTAAAAACAAGCATCTGGTCTCCCTGGGTGGTGTTTCAGCGCACTGGGTGTCTGTGATCTGTCCTCAGTCCTGCCCAGAGGTGAGATGGTGAGCGGGTAGAGCCAGTGACTGGAGGGATCCCAGCCTCTGTCCTTCAGCGATTGGGTGGGCCTCGCTCAGCCTCGGTTTCCTCATCTGTAAAAACGAGGACCCTCGGCTGTACCGTAAAACATGCTTGCGAGGAAAATGTCAGGTGCTTGGCATTTGATAAATGGTTTCCATGATTGTTACTTTAAAGGCAGACCTGTCTGCTTTCTAACTGTGGCTGAAGGAGGGACGTGGAGTAAGTTTGGTGAAGTGTGGCCATTGTCTAGTACTGAGAATGTGTAGAAAGTTTGGAAGCAAGATCCTTGTAAGTTACACACCTGTGGTAATTGTGTCTTCATTAAAGGCATCAAAGGGGTGAGAAGACAAGGCCACACGCTCTGGGGTGAAGTTTACCCCTTTGGCATCCTGGCCTCCAGTCAGGAGCTCCCATGGCTGTGATGGCCGGAAACTTTAATTGCTGAGGCTGCCTTAAGGGGGCTACTGTCTTCAAGTAGAGAAGCTCTGCCTTTATTTACCAACATGTTTACTTATATGTTGATTTTCTGTATATAATTTTGAGTCGGTTCACTTTTTCTGTGAGACATAACACCCAGTAACACATACAGTGAACACCTGCGCACTCACCATGCAAGTCAAGAAGGAGAACATTACTGCACCGCGGTCAAAACAGAGTTTCCAAAGTGTTAAAACCTAACTCTGATGTAGTGAGCCCCTGTCATATGTAACTTAATTATCAGGAACCAGCGGGAGGATGCAACAGGCAGAGGTGATGTCTAGTCAGTGAAAGAAAGTGCTGGATATAGTTAGATACAGAACTGGTTAATGTCCTACAGGACCATAAAGTCATAAACTCTGGCGATATGCTTGCTATAGGCAGAAATCCTTTGCGTTTCTGTCAGTCAAAAATAATTAGCATATATTCCTTAAGTTAGCTTCAGTCTTTGAGTCTGGGCCTAATCAGTAGTAAAGGGTGAAGCCAAACAAAATTCCATCCCCAGAGTCAAATGGCCTGAAGGCAGGCTTGTTGGCCAACCCTGAAGTTTAATTTTTGAAAGCTTGTGCTGTTCTTTTCGTATGTCACTGTGCATTTCTGAACACTATAGTTTTGTTTTTCCTGATTTTGAACGTGTAGTATGTATTCTTTTGTGTCTTGCTTCCTTTTGGGCAACATTGGGTTTAAAGATTCATCTCCGTGTTTACATGTAGCTGTAGTTCATTCTTTTCTGTTGTTGTATAGTATTCCGTTTAATGCTTATACTGCATTTTATTGATTCTGGTGCAGATGGACGTTTGGATTGCTCCCACGTGCTATGGACATCCTCATACATATTTCCTAGTATTAATGTGGAGTGGAGTTGCTGGGTCTCAGAGTGTGTGTTCCTTCAACCTTACCAGATAATGCTGAACTATGTTCCCAGTGGCTGTGCTGGTTACCCTCTGCCAGCAGAGACGAGAGGTCCTGTCGCTCTACGTCCTTAGGCTTGTTCCTCACAGCCATTTTTGACTGCGTGACATGGTATCTCATTGTGGTTTTAACTTGCATTGCTCTGATAACTAATGAAGTTGAGGACAGATTTACATTTATTTTAAAAACAAAATATTCTTAGTCTCTTGTTTTTTAAAAAAAACAAATGGGTTTTTTTTTTTTTAGATTGGCACTTGAGCTATCTGTTGCCAATCTTTTTTTTTTTTTGCTTCTTCTTCTTCTCCCCAAAGCCCCCCAGTACACAGTTGTATATTCTAGTTGTGAGTGCCTCTGGCTCTCTTATGTGGGACGCCGCCTCAGCATGGCCTGATGAGCGGTGCCATGTCCGCGCCCAGGATCCGAACCAGCGAAACCCCGGGCCGCTGAAGCAGCCCCCGCGAACTTCACCACTCGGCCACGGGGCTGCCCCTGTTAGTCTCTTAATAGGGAGCAGTACATCCTGGTGGTTGAGGACTAAGGATCTGATGTTAGGCCTGGATTCTGCCTTACCCACCACTTCCCCACCCCCTGAGCCTTGGCTTCCCCATCTGTAAAGTGGGGATGATGATGGTACGCTGTTCTCGGGCTGACTGAGGAAAGGAAATGAGTAATGCCTGTCAGGGCACAAAATAGGCCCTCAGCAAATGGGACACATTGTTGTGAAAAATAGACTCTGTCCAGTGAGTTGATTATTCCACTGAAAGCTTGATGCTCACCCATTAGCTGTGACGTAGAATCATGTGAGAGCGTCGTGTGGAGAGTCAGACTGTTGTTTTCCACCACAATCAGGGGAGCTGGGGGTTTAGAAAGCAGGACAGCAGCTAGCAGAGAAAATGTGTTTTCTTTAGCTGTGGCATGGACCTGGAGTCCTGGCTAGCAGGGGCCTGGATGTTTGCGGAGGGTCCTTAGGCCTGGGCCCTCAACCCACCACGTGCGCTTAGATCTCATGGGCACAGAGTGTGACATCCTTGCATGGGGACCCAGGACCGTTCTTAAGCTGGGGCTCTGCTGACAGTTTTGGGCCATGGTGACTCCTGTTCAGGGCACTTAGAAAATCAGACTTGGGTGAGCTTGGAGCAGGGATCAGCTAGGCCCTTGGAGTCTGGAAGATCTTTCTCTGTCTTTCGGATGTGCTAACACCCTTTAATGTGCCTGTTGGAGAGTGAAAAGGGTGCTGTTCATATTTATTCAGAACAAACAACATGAACTCAGCCTAGGAACGTGGTCACCCTGCTCCACATCTGCCCTCAGGAAAGGCCCGTCCAGCTGTGACTCTGTCCTTGTGTGACCAGCCTCGGCCCTTACTGAGCAATGGAAGCTCTGCCTCTGGAAGTCGTTTAACTTCTGAGCCTCATTTCCTTCTTCTGTAAAATGGGAATTGAAATGTACTTGTCCAGCTTATTTTTTAGGGTGATTATTATCAGGGACAAGGGAGGTAATGTGCAAAGAGCCTTTATGAACTTAATGTGAAGAGTTGAGCAAAGATGAAGATTATTAATAATAACAACAGGTGGTACCTGCATTGGTGATGGGGAGGGTTCTTTTGTGTTTCGGCTGCCACTGGACCATTCACCCCAGTCACCTGGCCCTAGTTTTAAATATTTATCCACATGTAGTGGCGTGTCCATACTTGCTTTCAATTCTAGAGTTTGGTTAGGTTCCTAGAGCTGGTCAGGAGCCTCAGGGCCACCTGGGAGCAAATGGTGCTATGGCCTCATTTGCACATGAGGAAACTGAGGCCCAGAGGGAAGGGGACTCTCCCAAGGTCACCTGAGTGAGTGAAGGGCTCATTATCTCCCAGGGACGAGGCATGGGAGGGATGCTGCAGCCCGTGATGAAAGACTGAGTCTGTAGGACGTTGCCAGAGGATAGCACCCTGGGACCCAGATAGGCGATCACCCGATCACTAATGCAGATAGAGTCACACCCAGAGAAGGGGGCTGTCACTCAGGGTAGCTGGGCCCCCAGTGCAGGCCTCTGTCCACCTCCTCATATGCACTGTCCCTCCTCCGGTCACCGGCTCCTGGGGTCAGCCCTCTTCATTAGCAGAAAGTAAACACGGGAAGCTGACCTTTGCCACCTCAAGACAAAAGTTGGAAGGGCGGTTGCCTTGTGAGCCTGGAAGCCTCAGGAGAGATGTCCCCTCTCCTTGTCCTCCCACACTCACCGGTGGATGGGGGTCACTGAAGGAGACCGACTTTATGCCCTTGTCTTAGGAATCTGAGAGCGGGACACTGGCCCTGTGTCTGAGAACTCCACCCCTGGGTGCCCTTCTGAGTGGGAGTTGGGGAGTCCAGTGCGTTTTCAGTCTGGCCAGGACTGGCTGCCTCCCCCTCAGGAACAGGCTCAGCCTGCTTCACCATTTGGGTGTGGGTCCCTGCTTGGGCTTGAAGGGAAGGAACAGGGAGAGGAGGGGGCTGGTCCTGATCCAAACCCCAAAGTGAGGTGCTTCTCTGCCACCAGTCTGGTCCCGTCCTGGACTTTGCTGCTGCCCTGCCTGTGCTCCCGCCCAGGCTGCAGTGAGGAACCATCATCCAGCCAGCAGAGGTGATGCAGGTGTTCCAGTGGCCACGCCTGCAGACCTTTAGCCCAGCTACTAATGTGGAAGCCCTGCCCAGCCTAGTGTGAACTCTTGCCCTCCTTGCAAAGCGAATGCCCGGGAGCGGGAGAGAAGGCAGCAGAGAAGTGGGAGTGGATGGCCGAAGGGTCCTGCTTTGGGTTGGGACAGTGCTGGTCAGACCTGGGCCAGGGGCTTCCAGAGCACAGGATCACTGCTTCCTTCTGCTCCAGGAAGCAGGACGGGCCTTGCCGTCTCCTGTCCCTCACCCTTACTCCCACGCTGATTCCACTGGGAGACTTGCAAGGCAGGATCCCGGCAGACAGGAAGTGAGAGCCAGCTTCAAGTCAGGTGGTCTGAGGCCTGGAGAGAAGCAGGGCCTGGGCCTGCCTGGGACAGGACAGTTTCCTTCAGGGTCCTGCTTTCCGAGTTTCCTCCTCCCCTACCCTCCGCCAGCCCAGCACTTCTAGAACACCCAAACCATGGCCTCCGCACCTTTCTTGGGTTGCTCCCTTCCCCACCAGTGAAAAGTGAGTAGACCCCGCCAGAGCTCTTCAAGGTGGGGTATGGGCATTATGTGCCCCTGAGAGTGCAGAGAATGCAGAGAAAAACCTTAGAACTCCAGGCTCTGGTTCTTTGTCATCTCAGCATTTTTTTTTTTTTTTTTTTTTTGAGGAAGGTTAGCTCTGAGCAAACATCTACTGCCAATTCTCCTCTTTTTTGCTGAGGAAGATTGGCTCTGACGTAACATCCATGCCCATCTTCCTCTATTTTATGCTGTGGATGCCTGCCGCAGCATGGCTCGATAAGCTGTGCATAGGTCCGCACCTGGGATCTGAACTGGCGAACCCCAGGCCGCCAAAGCAGAACGTGCCAACTTAACTGCTGTGCCATGGGGCCGGCCCCTCAACCTTTTTTTAATTCATATTTTTTGTGTAAGTTTTACAGTGTACATTCTATATTTATAAAGTGATACATTTATGTAATTTATAAAATAGGTCTAATTTGGGAAGATTGTGCTAAAATATATTTTACCATCAGAGTGTGCAGAGTATTTTGGCAAGCGGGGGTCAGCAGACGTTTTCTGTAAAGGGCCAGATAGCACGCATTTTAGGCTGTGTGGACCGCAGGGCCTCTGTTCCAGCTGTTCAGCTCTGCAATTGGAATGGAAGAGCAGCCATAGGTAAACAAGTGGGTGTGGCTGCATTCCAGTAAAACTTCATTTGTGGATACTGAAATCTGAATTTCATAGAAATTTCATGGGTCACAAAAGAGAATTCCTCTTGATTTCCACCCCCCTCCCCCAAACATTAAAAAAATGTAGAAATCATTCTTGGCTCGTGAGCCCAGGGCCCTCAGTTTGCCAACCTCTGCTCCGGAGGCGGCTCTGGACTTACCTGGGGAGCTTTTCAAAAATGCTAGGTTATTCCAGAACCCCAGCCCTGATGTTGTAGATTCTGTGGGAGGCCCTGGAACCTGCATTCTCATAAGCAGCTCAGGTGGGTAGGAAGCAGACAATCTGAAGAACAGATTTTAAGAAATGCCACGCTGGAAGGTCTCCAGGGTCCTGATCTGTTCAACTCAACCAGTCCTTGCTGAGCGCCTGGGGTGTGTGACTTCCTTGGGTCTCTTTTTGCCCATTTTTGGAACCTGACAAGAGAAGGAACCCATCTCAAAGATAACGACCCACCCACAGGGAGGGCCCGGCATTTCTTGTCCCGGGGTGCTGGAGTCCTCAGCAGAGCGTCGCTGGGCCCCGGGCTCTGGTCTCTGTGAGGTCATGCCCACAAGAGACAGAAGCGCCCAACCATTAGAGGGTGGGCTCCGGAATCTGCGTGACCTTGGGCAGCTCACTTTGCTTGTCAGCGCCTTAGTTTCCGTCTTGTCTGTGAAATGGGGACTGTAATGTGCCCCCCCATAGGTGCTGATGAAGTAAAATGAGCCGGGATGTGGCACTCCCAGCACAGTGCCTGGCACCTCGGAGGTGCTGGGTAAACAGGAGTCGCTGCTCCTGCTGCTGTTGACGGGCAGAACAGGGCAGCCCCCAGCCCCTGCCGCGGGTGCAGAAGAATGACTGCTCACCTTTGTCTGGTGCTTTCATTTGCATGGATCTTGTACATCATCATCTCACTGCCTCCTCCAGCAACACCTGAGGTAGACACCAGTGTCCCACTTTACAGAGGTGGCAACTGAGGCTGGGCAAGGTTAAGTAGCTTGCCCAAGGGCACACAGCTGGTGAGCCCCCGGATGAGAACCCGGCTCTCTGTCTGGAGCCCTCCAGGACTCTCTCCCATCCGGATCTTGAGTGGCAACAGGAGGGGAGCTTTGCCTGGTTTGCTGTGAGTCCTTCACCGAGCGCTCTCTGCCCCTGTAGATCAAGTACCACGAGGAGTTTGAGAAGAGCCGCATGGGCCCCAGCGGGGGCGAGGGCCTGGAGCCCGAGCGCCGAGATTCCCAGGGCAGCGGCAGCTACCGGCGGCCCCAGGAGCAGCAGCAGCCACCTCACCACATCCCGACCAGCGCCCCAGGTGAGCGTGAGGCCTGTGGGGGCAGGGGACCTGAGGCCAGGCCAGCTTCAGGGTGGAGGAAGCCTCATTTACACATACAGACACACACACACACACCCTCGGGCCCCATCGGGTCAGGCCTGTGCTGGGCCCCCCGGGGATGGGGGAGCCGCAGCCCCAGCAAATGAGCGCTTATGATAAGCTTTTGAGAAGTGAAGGTTGAGCAAGGGCGTGGGGGTGGAAATACGTTGTTCGGGCTCCACGGAGGAAGGGGTGGGCTCCGGGAGGGCCAGGTTTGGCAAGACAGTGTCTGAGCCCCGTCTCCTCCTCTCTCGCAGTTTACCAGCAGCCCCAGCAGCAGCAGGCGGCGCAGTCTTATGGCGGGTACAAGGAGCCTGCCGCCCCGGTCTCCATACAGCGCAGCACCCCAGGCGGGGGCGGGGTGAGTAGCGTTGGCCAGAGGGGAGAGGTTGGAGTTTGGAGGCCGGAGGAGGCCAGAGGTGGCTGGGCCTACTGGACAGAGCTCATAGATTGTCCTTAGAAACCCCCTGGAGGTCATGGCTTCCCCTGACCCTTGACCCCAGATTGTCACTCGCAGGTGACATGGATCTCAGTCTCTGCAGACCCTTAGGCTGGGATCGGGGTGCTGTGTTACAGGACGAGTTACCTTGGGCAAGTCACCCCCACAACCGCCCAGATTTCCTGACTCCAGCTCCCTGGGAGCATACTACGCCCCTTCCTGCTTGGGGCCTTTCAGACCCGGGCCCTGCTCCCCGCTCTTCATGGGGATGACTGCCTGTGTGCTTAGGATCTCAGCTTGCCCTGCCTCTGAGGGGCCCTCCCAAACAGCTCTGTGTCATGTGGTGTCCCCTGACGTCTCTATCACTCCCCCAGCCCCGGTTTCCTTCAGAGCACTTTTTCCAACTTAAAACAGTTGTTGTTTGTTAACTTCAGTCTGTGTCCCCCCGGGCTTGAAGCTCTGTGCGGACAGGGCAGCATCCCTTGGGGGTCACCTGCTCCGAGCTAGGCACAGAGCAGCCCTCGTCAACATTGCTGAATAAATGAATGAGGGGAGTGGGAGCGGGCCAGCTCAGGCCTACCTGTCCTTAGAGTTGAAGTGCCCTGTCCATAAGTCGTGCTACTCACCCCACTAGTGGGTGCGCTGGGCGCCCGTCCTGAGCTCCCGTCCAAGCTCAGCTGCTCTGTGCCGGGCGCCTGGGAATTCACAATAGCTCGTGTAGGAGCAGGACAGACAATCCTCAGAGAAATAAAATCGCCTGAGACAAATGGCCCGCTGGAGCCTCGTGCTCTGGACACACAGGTGAGGGAGTGTCAGTGCTGTCTGGGGTGCTAGGCTGGCCCGGGAGGTCGTCCGAAGGATGAGGTTCCAGATAGAGCAGCCAGTCCTTGAGATACTCACTAAACCTGTCCCAGACAGCAGGCATTCGGCTCTGAATGAAAGACCACCTTCCTGCCCTCTTGGAGCTTCCTTCCGGTCAGGGAGACAAATAAGAAGGCAATAAGTAAGTAGGTATATAATGTAAGGCCAGGTCATGGCACGTGCTGTGAAGAAAGAGACAGCAGGGTGAGGGGAGAGAGAGCAGCAAAGTCCTTAATAAAGTGAAGGAGTGAGTGGTGCAAGAACAGCCATTGCAAAGGCCCTGAGGCAGGCATATGGTAGGAAAATTCAAGGACCAGCAGGAAGGCCGAGGGGACTAGAGAGGGGAAGGGTAGGAGATGAGGTCAGGTCAGGCAAGGACACAGAGGCCACAGGAAGGCCTTTGTGACTGGCAAGCTATGCAGCATGATGGGTTTGACGGGTTTTTAAAGGATTGCTCTGCAGCTGGTTGAGAAGAGCAGTGGGAGGTAGAGGGCAGGGAGGGGAGTGAGGGGGCTGTGCAGGCTGCAGGCACAGATGGCGGACTCGGGCCGGGGCAGAGGCAGCGTGCGTGGTGAGAGAGACCGCACTCACTTCATGAGGAGCGTGACCTCTTCTCCCACAGCCTTCGGGGCTGCTGGAGCTCATCTCTGCTGCTTGAAGATAAAAGTCTGAATTCAGTGCTAAAGAGGATGGGGGCCTCTGAAGGACTTAAACCGGGGGAGTAACACAGTCAGGTTGCATTTTGGAAAGTTGCCCCTGAGATCACCGTGGGTGACCTGTCGGAGGGGGCCGACCAGAGGCCGGAACAGAAGGTCGGAGCAGAGGTTCTAGCAGTGGGGTGGAGCGGGGGGCGGATCCAGGAGCGTCCTGAGGGGCTCGTTCAGCCCTGGACCAGTTGGCACTTGGGCTCCACTGCCGGGCCCCACACAGGTCCCAGGGCCTGGCCCCACAAAGGCTGAGCTGGCCCCTAGAGACAAGTTGATGTCAAGGGCAGTGAGGGTCAGAGGACGTTAGAATCTTGCCTGCCTCCAAGACCACTGTTGGATTTCATGTGCTTTTATGGGACATTTCCTAGAGCTGGGGCTTAAGCATAAGACTTTGGCCGAGGTTGGAAGGTGAACCTGATAGACACCTCTTGTGTCACCTGGAGGTTTTTCATTTTTCTCCCAAGAATAGGTCTTTGTCCTGAACTTAGGAGTGAAGCCAGACTCATCATAGCTTCAAAAAAAAGACAGATGCTTATAATAATATAGATAATAGCATATAGGGCCTGTCCTTTTTTTTTTCTTTGCTGAGGAATGTTAGACGTGAGCCAACATCTGTTGCCAATCTTCCTCTTTTTTGCTTGAGGAAGATTAGCCCTGAGCTAACATCTGTGGCAGTCTTCCTCTACTTTATATGTGGGTCACTGCCACAGCATAGGCTGACGAGTGGTATACATCCATGCCTGGGATCCGAACCTGTGGACCTGAGCCGACAGGCAAGGGCACCACTACACCAACCGGGCCGGCCCCTAGCATACAGGGCATGTCATAGTTTTAAACATGGCCCGGCATCTTGTCCGTTGGACCTAAGCATTCTTGTTCCGAGAGGTGGGGCAGAGCTGTTGTAACCTCAGTCCCTGTCTTGTGCCTGGTCCTTAGTAGAAGCCAGAAACATTGTAAAAAGCGTGATCACTCTCAGAAAGTGACACACAGAAGTGAGAAAATTCGTGGCAGAGCCCAGCCCTTTCTTGTCTCCTGGGTCCTAGTTCGCTGCCACCCAGGCCCTGCTCTGGGGTCCCAGAGAGTCAGAGAGAAAGGCGCAGGCCCCTGGGGAGCCAGGCCCTGGGCTGACTGTGTCCCCACCCCTGCAGAAGCGGTACCGTGCTGTGTACGACTACAGTGCCGCCGACGAGGACGAGGTCTCCTTCCAGGATGGGGACACCATCGTCAACGTGCAGCAGATCGACGATGGCTGGATGTACGGGACCGTCGAGCGCACCGGCGACACGGGGATGCTGCCGGCCAACTACGTGGAAGCCATCTGAGCCCGCCGGGCACCACGCGCCCCCATCTGTCTTCAGTGCATTCCACGGCATCGCATCCGGCATCGCATCCGTCCTGGGCGTGACCTGTCCACCCTTCAGTGTCTGTTTTTTTTAAATCTGCGACAGCTTGTTTATTCCTACCCTCCTCCAGCTTCTTTTGCCAACCGAAGCCTTGTTCTGCCACTTTCGCGGGCTCCTTCCTCGGGCAGGTTTTTCCTTTGACCAGCTTCTCGGTTTTCTCTCTGGATGGAACAGGTGTGGACTTCTCTGGGGGGGTGAGGCCGGTGAGGCTGGTCTGGAATGGGAGACCCGCTGGCCCCCAGGCCTCTGCCTTCTCTCTTTTCTGCCCCCTCAGACCCTCCTGCCCACCTCCTCACACAGCCAAACATTCCAGGGCTGGGGTGAGCCCCAGACCCCCAGGGCCCCCAGGGCAGGGCTTCATACATTCCCGGGAGTGAGACCCCACTGTCCTTGCCCTTGGGCTGGAGCTGGGGACGGGTGGGGGGCTGCCACGGCGTAGGGACCAGTGAGACGGGCTTCACCTCTGCTTCTCGGGTGGGCCACGGGCCCTCCAGGGAGTCTCTCACAGCCTCCTGCTCTCAAGGACAACACAGGAGAGTGAGGCTCCCGCCTGGGACTCCTGCATCCTCCCTCGCGTGTTTCTTCTCACACTGTGATTCTGCCTGCCTGCCGGCGCACGGCAGCATGGGCGAGGGGCTCCCCGGGAGCACGGCTTGGGTTGAGTTCTCACCTTTCTTACTCTAGGGACCCCTGCAGGGAGGAGGCGAACAGGGTCTTCTCTCCCGCAGTCCTTTGCCCTCCCCCCAGCCCTGATCTCCAGGGATCCTGGCTGGCCTCCTTGGCTGGAAGCTGGTTCTGAAAGGTGGGCAAGGAAGCCTTAGGCCTCTTGGCCTTCAGCCCAGCCCCTGAGATCTGAGTTAGGTGGGCCACTCCTCCCTACTGCTTGTGGGAAGATGTCTCGGGCCATCTATAGCCTCCCCTCCCCGGCCTGGTGCCAAGTGGACTGGAACTGTGCAAAGCCGCAGGACCCTCTGTATCTCCAGGACTTAGTGTGTGGGGTGGGAGCATGTGTGTTTGCAACAGGCTAGTGTGAGCATGAGTGTGAGCCTGAGTGTGAGAGCAGGGGCCAGGGCACTGGCCTGCAGGAGTCTGGGCTTATGTGAGGGTGCACAGAACTGCCTTCCCCTGATATCTTCCTCAAAACCCACAGTGAAAGGGGAGGGCCCTAGGGGAGAGAAGTTCCTTGTTCCTTTGGAGTGAAAATTCCTCCTTTCCTTCCATCCCTAAATAGAGGAAGCCGCCCGCCCCCGCCCCCAGTGTGCTGGGCAGAAGCAAGGGGATGATTGAGAAGTTGGGGGGCTGGTGATGTACTTGCTGGAGTACGGGGTGGGGGGACAGCTTCGTGCCTCCAGGCACTTTCTCCTCCCCCATCTCTGTCTTGGGCTGCAGAGTAAGGGGCTAGAGGCCCCTGTGCCACCCACACTGTGGTGCATCACTGGGGGCCTCTCTCCCCAGGCCTCCCCCTCGCTTACTTAAAGCCCCCCTTGGCGCAGAGGGAGAGGGTCCCAGGGCTACAAAACTGGAACCACAGACCCCGGGATGAGGAAGGGAAAGATGGTGCTATCTCCAAGTCCCTTCTCCTGCTCGGTGGTGGCTGTGACGACCCTTGCCTGGCTTCATTCATCTCTGGGCTTTCTTGTCACCCCTCTGGGTCTCCCCCTCCCGTCGTCACCCTGAGTCCACCCAGGCCCCCAGTGGACATCTTCGCATCCTTGTACCCTGCAGGGGAGGAGGGGCCCGTAGGCGCATTCAGCAGTCAGGTCCTCACTGTGAGCTGACTTGGGAATATTTACCCCAAATCAGAGGGTTGAGGAAATGACCAGAGGAGGAGCCCTGCCTGACCAGCCCCTTTTCCTCAGCCCCAGCTGAAGTGAGGGCGGGTGGAGTGTCTTATACTGGGCTATTTGGGGATGAGGGAGCAGAGAGGGAACAATTTGGGGAGCCTTGTGGGAGGCGCTGGTCATTCCGTTTCCTCTTGATCTCAAAGCACAACATTGATTCTGGGACCAAAGTTCAGAGACACATCCTGTTGGAGGACCTGCAGTTGGGAGGGTAGTGAGAGGCCAGGAGGAGGGCCTGGAGGAGCAAGAAGCAGCCTGTTTTCACTCAGCTTAATTTTCCATCCGAAATAAAGCAAGCCAGCCACAGGGACCTTGCCACCAGCCCCTCTACTCCTCCATCCTTAAAATAGGGGACCTTTGCTTACACACCCCCAGGGAGAGAAGGGACTGTCACACTGGTGCTGAGGGACCCAGGGGCTGCTGGGAGTCCTTGTTCCTTTCCAGAACCTTCCATCCCTAGAAGAGCACAGAACCTGAGGGCTGGGCTGAGTCCCTGGTCTTTTCTTACGGTTCGCAGAGGTCTTTTAGCCAATCTAATCCCAGGAAAGAAGATGCATCAAAACTAGAATGTGAATATAACTTTAGTGGACCAGTAATAAAATACAAGAAGCCCAATGGTGAGAAAAGCAAATTCTCAACACTGCTTCCTGTTTTCTTCCTCATGTCCCTCCAGGGAAAACTACTTTATTGCTTAATTTCTGCCTTTTCCCCCTCACATATGCACTTTTGGGCCTTTTTTTTTTTAATAGCTGGAAACAAAAAATACCACCCCACAAACCTGTATTTAAAGAGAAACAGAAATGACCATGTGAAATTTGCCTCTGTCCAAACATTTCATCCGTGTGTGTGAAGCCGTCCATTCGTCCTTTTATATGGGGTGGTTGTCTTTTCTTGGTCTGTTTTGGTCCTCTCCCTCGTGGGCTTGTGCTTGGGATCAAATCTCTCTGAACATTTGACTTGGACCACAAGTGAATCTTTCTCCTGGTGACTCAAATAAAAATCTAATTTTTACCTGTGGACTTGGTTTTCTCTCTGGCTCTGAGGTGCTGCCGTGAGTGTGTGTGCGCGCACGCGCGTGCGTGTGTGTGTCTTATCTGTTTGGGGCTCTGGCTCTGAGGTGCTGCCGTGAGTGTGTGTGCGCGCACGCGCGTGCGTGTGTGTGTCTTATCTGTTTGGGGCTCTGGCTCTGAGGTGCTGCCGTGTGTGTGGGGGGGTGTGTGTGTGTGTGTGTCTGTCTGTCTGTCTCTGTCTGTCTTATCTGTTGGGGGGCGGTGGCCCGTCGCCCTCCTGAGAGCCCTGCAGCCAGCCCTTCAGGGAGAGAAGGACCCAGACCTTGGCACCTACTTCCTCCTGGTTGAGAACTCCCCCCAAGTCTGCTCCTGGCTACATCCTGCCCGGGTTGGTGACACTCTCAGAAGCTTCCCTGAGCTCCCATATTCTCAGTCTTACTGCTGAATTCCTTCACTGCACCTGGCTTCCCACTGGCCAGTGCGCTCACAGGGCAGGTAATGGGTCTGATTTGTCTTTCAATGCCCAGTGCCTGACCAGGGCCAGGCACAGCACTGCCGCGCAAATAGTTGTTGAATTAATGAAGAAGCTCAGCTTGGGGCAGTTTTAGCTGGCTGCCAGTGTCTGCACCTAGCAGGAGCTCGCACATGTTTGGGGAATGAAATGACAGGACTGGGGCAGTCTGCCGTGGGATAAGACACGGGATGCAGCCATCTATAGAGTGGTCTGGCAACCCAGAGCCGTGTTCACAATGCCTTAGGATCATCTTTAACACACGTTTTCTTTGATCTTATGAACAGCCTTGTGAGAGAAGTAACTACCGCGGTGTCCATCTTACAGGTGAAGTTCACAGAAACCCAGAAAGGCAGTGGTCTGGGGGAAGTCGCGCAGCTAGTGGCAGGGCTGGAGGTTTTAGGCCCTTCATTGTGATGCTCACAACCTCGTGATGTGACCTTGCCCCAGGGGCCTTGCACCCAAGCCCTTTGCACCTCTCATGTTAGTATCACCTGTGCTGTGCACTTTGCTCCGGGTGCCTTGGGTCTGGCCTCTGACCGGAAGGCCAGGTAGCCTCGCCTCTTCTGTGGGGTTGGAAAGGGGACAGTGGTAAAGGAATCCAGACCCTTCTGCCCCAGCTCTATGCCACCAGTCAGCCTTGTGTCCAGCTGCTCTGTGCGGAAGGGCAGTTCCTAGTGAGGCGTCCTCTGGCTTCAGGAAAGCAGCTCAAGGAGCAAAAACTGGCTTTCCCTGAAGTGAGCCTTTGTCGTCAGCAGAATGATGTGCGGAGTCAGCAGGGCGGGGCAGTGTAGGGAGTGTCGGAGGCAGCGCTGGTGGGATAATTAAAGACAATACTGACACCTGCTCCCCATCCAAAGGCGCTGCCTGCCTGATATTTTCGCAGGAGGAAAATGAGAAGCAGGGAATGAGGGGGCAAATTGTGCCTCCCGCTGGCCTGCCCCCTTTTGTGAAGCTGCAGCCCCTTCTCCCCGGGAGCTTCGTTCACCTTCCTGAACTGTTTGGGGTGGAGCCAAGGACACTGCCACAGGGAGATTTTTAATTTAACAGGAAATAAGACTCGTAAAAAGGCATAAAAACAACACAAAACATAACTGAGTCCCCACCACCCTTTCCCCTCAGGAGAGGCCACCCGAATTTGCATTTCTGGATGCTCTTACTGGACAGGGATGGGCCTGAGAAGTCTTTAGTGCCCCTCTGGGTAACACCATGCTGAGCTCTCTGAAGAGGACACAAAAGAGAACAAGAATGTGGGTAACGACCACAAAGAGACAAGGACTAGCTGGAGGAGAGACTGCCAGTGCTCACACTGTAACTGGAGTGCTCTGAGCAAAACGCATCGCAAACTGAGCAGAGCAGGTAGGGCTGGGGGGCGCCTCAGACTGGTGGGGTGGGCCGGTCTGGGGCGAGAGTGGAGTGTGGTCTCTGGAGTGTGCAGAGTTAGTTTTGAATCATGGTCTCTGCCATTTCCAATGAAACGTTAGACAAGTTCCTGACCGTCTCTGAGCCTCATCTATAAAGACTTGTAGGGAGGTTGAAATTACACCACACGTGCAATATCTGGCACAGTATAGGAGTCCCATAAGCGTTAGCTCCATCCCCAGAGATGTCAACTGACACTCATACGAGACCTTTGTCCACATCCCTCCATAACGTGACCTTTACAACTTGCCAATGGCCCACCCAACTCCCAACCATTGTTTTTCTGAGATAATTTGCCAAGGATATGTGAGAGGAAAAAGGAAGAAGAAAGGCCGTCAGGAAGATTCCTTCGCAGGGGATCTGGATAGAGATCAGATCTCCTCCTACGTCTGTATCATGCAGACTCCACTTAGACACTAAGGGGTGGGATTGGGTTCCTGGGGAGAAATTGAGCCTCTTCGGTTCTGCCTGGTCTAAACCGACACTTCCTTGGTTACCCACTCCTGGGCTTTGTGATTGGTTGGCTGTGGTGTGGGGGCGGGGAGGGCAGGGAGGAGGTAAGCTGCTGATGGAGCTGCAGCATCCCTGAGTCTCCCGCCCTGGGAGGAGGAGGGGAAAAGAACACAGGCTGAGCAGTGGAGGGAAGAGGGAGCCATTTCTCTCCACTAACTGCAACCTCTGTGTTTGCAGCTCACATTTCCCGGGAATCCAGAGGCCTCCTCGGCCAAGGACTCCACAATGCTGGATATTTTCATCCTGATGTTCTTTGCCATCATAGGCCTGGTCATTCTGTCCTACATTATCTATCTGCTCTAGCGGCCTGTAGCTGCGGCGGGGAGCCCACAGGAGAACAGCTCAGGGGGGAAGGATGAAGCTGGCTGGCCGAGCATCCTGCTTTGTTGACGCACCGGTGGATTTTTGCTTCTGGTCGTCATTTCGGGTATTGATTCAAAAACAAAATTAAAAGAGATCTTGTTTTTCTATTTTTTTCTCAGATGCATTGATGTAGCATTTCTCAAACCACTCTGAAAAGAATAAGAAATGCCACCTTCTTTCTTTGAGACCTAATTTAAAATAATGGTTTTTAAAACGAAAAGTAAAACCCACAATGCAAGGGATTTTTAGGTAGAGTGGATTGGGAGTGGTGTGCATGTTGGGAGGGACTATTATTTCCTAATTTTTTTCTTCAATTAGGTGCTCAAACTCCAAACTACCCATTTTCTTCCAGTAATTAAAGGTAAAACACATCTTTGTATGTCGGCAGAGTGGTGTACAATTATGCTTGCGTAACTGCGTCTACAGTTAATTAGCGACTCATTCTCACTTGAGGATGGAATAGCAAATGAAATTTACTTGGGAGTGGGATTTTGGGGGACGTGTCTGTTCTCTCCCAATTGTGGGGTTTGGCAGAGCGGAGAGAAACTCCTAATTCTTTCCTTAGTCCGTGACCGGTACTCGGGAGCTGACGCCTTTGCTGCTATTCCTATCTGAGCCTTGTTTTTTCTGGGTTTCCTACAGCTCCTGGTCTCCAATCCAACAAGAGGCCTCTTATCAACAGCAGCAGTCCTACTGCCCAGCAGACCTCTTCCAGAGCCTCCCGGATACGGTTAACCCCTGTCAAGCAAGGGGCTTTTTGAGCTCAGAGGCACAGGCGCTCGGCTGGGACGTGAGGAATTCATGGGCCCTGCTGGCAGATACTGTGTGCGTGTGTGAGTGTAGATAGAGGGTGTTGAGAACACAGAGCTGAAATGTGGACTCATTCAAGTTACCATGGAGAACTGCTCAGAATTCATTTTATAGGCTTTCCTTAGGTCTAAATGCAACTGTATATTATGCTAAAATATGTTCCTTCCTTTCCCGCTCACACGCAGGGTTTCCCCTGTAAATTCAAGAGCGCGCTGTCTCTGTTCATCTATGAGACGTCACTTTATCACTCACTGTCTCTACAGATTGCACAATCTGGGCTTGTGTGGTTTCCCTGTCTTACACTCGAGCCAGAAGGAACTTGTCATTTGAGTTTTTAAGATTTATCGTATCTTCCCCATTCCATACCACTTCTGCCCCAGCTTCTCATTTTAAGAGAGAAACAGTTAATTATCCTCATTCTTTGTGCCTGGCTGAATTATAAATTATTGAAACAAGATGGCTATACTTATCTTATTATTTGGGAAAAATATCTCTCTTATCCCAAAATAAACGATTTTTATGTTGTCAAATGTTCCTTTTCTGGAAAAAAACCTTTCAGCATATTTCTGTCCAGTTAGGGTGAAGAAACCATGTATTTTGGAGGCCAGGGTAGACTTGGGCCCCAAATCTGTAGTATCTATTCTTTTGAAAAATCTATCATAATTGTTATACATTTGATTCTCCTTTCTAGCTTAAAAATAAACAAGGAGAAAGATTAACTTAATAGTTTTTATTCATACCATCATGTTCAATTTCCATGTTTTAAAAAGACGTAAGATCGAGGCAGTATATGTCACAATTAAAATGGAAAACTTGCATAAATTCTGGCCAAGAAAAAACACTGTTTTGGGAGATTTGTCTTGGCAACAAATTATGTGACCTTCAGTAAGTCATTTAACCTTCAGGGTTTCATTTTTTCCTGACAAGTGAAAGAGTTGGACTAGAAAATTGTTAGTGTCCCTTTCCACTTAAGAATTCTCCAGTTCTAGAATGATTATCTTTGGAAGCTACATCTTTGAGATCAGAATTCCCACGGAACAAACTCTTAATAGTTTGCCAGTAGTTCCCTTTTCTGCCTTCCCCAAATGACATTTTATAATGAAAACTCAACTGCAAAACTTTTTTTTTGGCACCGACAGCCACATTATGAGGAGAAAATGACAATATTTATTTACCCAAAACGTATCTCAGTGATAATTTGCCTGAAGTGTTCAGGGAATATTGACAAATGCAATATTACATGGGGGTAATCTGACAGACACACTAATGCAAGAAGCATGGCTCTGAGCACTAACGCCTTCAGCCATGGTCTTCAGTTACCTGTGAAGTCCTTGACGTGACCTTTCCCGTTAAAACCTTCCTCTGACTCTTTGGCATAACCTCGTGTTTCAAACTGACATGTTCTACTTCGAGTCAAGATAGCAGCTCTATGTCCTTGCCTAGGTAACGAGGGCAAGTGTCAGTATTTTGGAGGGTCCAGGTTACACGGTTAATCATGGTGGTGTAGATCTTCACGGTATAGTCTCTAACCAAGCTTGCTCTGGAGTCTTTTACGAGGTCAAGGCTCTTCAGTCTGTATCCATATAAAGTCGAAACCACTAAGCAATTCAGGGAAAAAATCAGCCAATTTCAGTCATATACCAGTGATATATAACACTGATTTTCAGCACAATATAAGGAATGCAAGATTACCCATCTTTTCAATTAGTTGTAGAATAGCATGGTTTTAAAAAATAATTACATTTTAGAAGAAATTTCATGACTCTGTGCCTATGCCAGTTTATAACAGAGTCTTATTGTGTTCATCATTTCGATAAAAAGTTTTTAAATTTCACATTTAAGCTATTTGTATATAGACATCCTAAAACATAATAAAACACTGAAAAAAGTTACTTCCATAATATAAAGTTTTGTATTAATTTTACAATCTGTGTCAGGGTGATCTTGTCCTCTAAAACAGGAACTGTACTTGGCTCACATCAGTTTTAGATCACTTACAAAGAGATGAGTGTGGCGTGATGCTGAGAACCATTCCACGAATGTATGGTTTCTTGATAAAAATAAGGGGTTTGTGTGGAAAAGTGACATATTTTATTTTAGGAGAAAGGATATATTTTGGGAAACAGGTAAATAGTGAAAAGACAATTGTTACTAAGTTAGAACCACCTAAGACTCATTGTTCTGGTTGTATGGAATCAAATTCAAACTTTCTGAGTTTGAAACTTAGCTTGATATGATTTATTAAATTTCAGAAAATTTGTTTGCTTTTAAAAGGCTTAAAATTAGCATTATTCAAACTTCAAAATCCCTTAAAAGTATCATTTTAATTTTATATTACTCAAAAATAAAGGGAATTTCCCTTAATAAAGTACTTAAGCAGAGGTGAAGTGGAAAATTGTAAATTATATGCTTTGGCTTTATCACACTCCAAATATTTGCTAAGCCTAGAATGGCCTCTTCTAAGTCAGTTTTGCTCCCATCTATTTTAAACAAAAATAAAACCAAAGTCACATATAAAAGAGGAAACAGAAAGTCATCAGCACAACTTCCATTATAAATGCAAACATGCTAAGGCAGATACATTTAGAAATATTTAAGAACTTCTTTGCTCTTAGAGAAACACTGTTAAGATCTTGTAGTTATGAGAAATTGCAGGTAATCCACAATACTTAATTACATATTTTGTTTTTTGAAACTGGTGTTAAACCAGTTTAATTGTAGCATTTCTATTTTAGCACCAATTGGAATATTAACTGCTTGGGAGTTTGGTGTCCAAATAAATAGTAGAATAGTATAGAATACTGTTCTACTTATAGATTACTGTTCAATTTATGAGTTTTTGCTAGTCGATGAAACTATTTAATTTATTTATACACTATAATATTAAGCATAAATATGTATACATAAATATATAGCCAATTGAAACATTATTTTATATTAAGATATTTCATTTTTTGATCATGGTAAAACTTTAACAGCTTAAATAAAAATAAGTTCCTCCACAAGAAACAATTTAAAGGAATTACACACTCAATGATTTGCATAATGACAAACTCTGAACAAGTTAGAAATGTTTCTAATTTTAATTTTATTAATATGAATAAATAACAAAGTAAATAAAACAGCAAATATTAAGTATTTAAATATAAAAGACATTTTACCATAAATACAATACTTTAAAAATAACAGTGCATATTTTTCAGGTTTTTGTGCCTTTAAGAAAGTAGTGATCTTAGAATGTCAACAAGTATTATTTTTTTCTTTAATTTAAAAGCCTTTCAAGAGCGGAACTAAGTTTTGGGTTTTTTTTTTTAAGTCTCTAGTTACTTGAGGGATTTTCTAGAGTTATATTTGCTCTCTTGATGAAAAATGTGTTCTTAGTCCTTTGGCACTTTTTTTTTAACCTACAGAAGACTGTCCAGTAGAGCTGCCTTTCAGGTCGTCTTTCCTGTCTTAGTGATGTCTCAGGAAACCAAGGAGCATATACATGTCCATAGCCTTTCTTACAGGTTTCACAGCTACCTGCTAGTGGAATTGGTAAAGAAGTCACAGTGCTACAAGGTATTCATAACCAAAGAGGCTTTTGTAGCAGCTTCGTGTTTTCACCCTCCACTGTGTTTATTGACGTAAAAATCTGTAATCATATAATTGAGTACTACTCACTCAAAGAGGTGAACTCTGAAGTAATAATCACATGGTTTTTAAGTTGACATAAGATGGTCCTTCCAGCTGCACCTTCTGCGGGACATTCATGCTTGCTCTAATCTCCAAAGGTGAATAATTATCCTGGCAATAAAATCTTTGTTATTAACAGAGGAACTGAAAGCATGAACGAAGTCATGAGAGGATGGGAAAGCAGGAAATAAGGTGCCTATTGTTCCTGCTGTGGAGAGCAGTCTGATCAACCACTGCGGCAACTTCTTGAATGCTTGAATTTACTGCCTGCATTGTGAATATGTTCAAGTCAAGGGGTCAGAAGGGCATGAGAAGGAATTATCCAAAAAAGTGTTAACAATAGATGTTCTGTGGTTTCTTAAGGCACGGAGTATTTATCACAAGATATAAACTTTACATTAGTTTCTATGAAAAGTAGCATCATTAGCTTGTTATTAGTATTTTTGTGGTATGGTGTGTGTGTTTAGAAACAATAGTAAAGATAAATATAATGATGTGTTGTTGAGCTTGCCTTCTAGTGGAAGTAAAAACCATCCTACAAATCAAAGTCAAAGGAGACTGAGGAAGTCACTATCAGAAGGAAAGAAAAAGCTAGAAGCCCAGGTTAATCTTCTAATTTAGAAAAAGGTACAGGATAAATTGTCTCGCCTACTAGTAGTTTACATTATTGTTATTATGACTGTCCCAGAGATAGAAGTGAACAATCTTCTAGGGTTTTCAGGCTATTCATTTTGCAAATGCTCCTTTTTTGTGCCATACGGCTGCCTATAACATCACTTAAATATCAATACTAATGAGAGTAATACAAGTTTTTGCAAGTTAATCTCTCACTTTAAAATTTGATATCATGCTTTATTACTGATGACAAATGTATTCAGCAAAAAACTGGACTCTCAAATCGAAGAAACTATAAATTTGGTTTCATATGTTATTTTTATCTATTAGTAATTGATGAGGAATTTGTCAGTTTACTTCTTCTGGGTAGCAAGATGGTATCATTTATCTACTGCACCCAAAGAATGAATCACATTTCTTATGTTCCAAATTTCTGAGGATGGTGAGATAATCTCACAATCATTGAGAATAATGCAATAATGTGATTTAAAAAAAATTTACAGCAGCAGTCGTGTCAGTTCAAGTGTGTAATGAGCTTCAAAATCCAGATCAAAAATGTTTTAAATGAAACCATGCTTCTTTTGTAAACTTGCTGAAAATAACTGCTGTGGAGATTTGGACAATTAAAGGAATTCAAGGAAACCTTACAATGCCAGATTTCTTTCTCTAAGAAAATTAAATATCTATTTAGTAAAATATTAAAATATTCACTATTTATATTAAAATTTTTACTTTTTTCATTTATTTTTCTTTTTTCCTCAAATAATCTAATGGGCATATATTCTCAACTTGGAATCACAGATGTTTTGATAAATAAATGGATTAGGCTTTCCAAGGCATATATGGGAAAAACAGTGAGAGAGGAAAAAGCAAAAGCTAATTAAGGTGTTATTTTGTACTCTGATATCTGCCAACTTTTTTTTCAAAGATTTTAGTTTTCCTTTTTCTCTCCAAAGCCCCCTGGTATATAGCTGTATATTTTTAGTTGTGGGTCCTTCTGGTTGTGGCACGTGGGATGCCGCCTCAGCATGGCTTGATGAGCAGTACCATGTCCGCGCCCAGGATCCGAACTGGCGACACCCCGGGACGCCGAAGTGGAGCGCTCAAACTTAACCACTCGGCCCCCTCTGCCAACTTTAATCTTTATAATTTGGTTGTGAGTGAATTCTTAAATTAAGAAGAAGAAAATGAAACCAGCATAAAAGGAAGGTCTTTGTTTCTGTATAAATATGCAAAGGCTAAACTCTGGAGAAAAAATTCCTGCCACCAAAGGAATTATAGCTGGACAATCCATCAAAGAAAGGCAGTTAATTTTTGGCCCACCAAAATTGAAGGTTAGTGCTTTGCTACTGAAATATAGTAAAATCTTACCTCAATTTATATTTTCTCCACAATTTTCACTCTTCCTCAATCCCATGAATCTCTTACTGAGATTTCCCACAATTTATACCCCACTTCTGTGGGTGATCTCCATATCTTCTAGAGTTTCTTCCCTTCATCACCTCCAGAGGTGAGTTAAGTCAAGGGTTTAGGGAAAGAAAACCAGTCTGAGAAGTCCAGTGGGAAGGGGTGTGTCTTCATCACAAGTAAAGTGATCAAACCCCAGGAGAAGAAAATGGGAGATCCAGGAAGGCTCCAGCATTATTTCAGTCCTGTTAGACACTATTACTTTCTAATTTAATAGTAAAAGTAGTGGTGGCAAATGCTAGTCAGACTGAAAATAGTCCTGGAGCTTCTTGGGATCCATTTACTTGAGCAAAGAAAACTCCCATACTCTCATGGGCCTCTCTAACCATCCCTGCTTCCGTTTTTCCTTCAAATTCCACTCTTTAAGATAGAGAGAAAAGCTTTAGGAAGAAGTGAAAATTATTCGTGAAGATTGTTCTGGCAGCACAATAGCTACTTCCTTTCACTTTGTATTTTCTCTTATTTGTAACATTTTACTCTAATCCCCAGGAAAGAATAAAAGATGATTTGATTGTATGAAGACGATATATGTCTTCTTCTATTTATATACTTTTTGTATGATTTGTCTTAAAGAAGAAAATATATGTGTGTGCGTGTTTATATGTATATATACATACACATATATATGTATGGATATGTATACACACACACATATTTCTTTTGGTTTTTGATTGGTTAATTCAGGCAAAATGTGAACAAAATATAATGTTCTTTGTAATCATATGCCAAGAAGGTGATAAAGAATGTGATTCATATCTGCATATTCCAAAGCATCATATTGCAAATCTCACAAAACATTTTAGGCTCTTCTATACAACCTAGGCAAAGTGAACAGATACAGACTATTCAGTGAATTTGAGTCTGCTCTAACTATAAAACAGAATTTTCTCTTGCTTCAAAGATACACACACAGAGGTTGGCTGGCCCCAGATTCTTGGACATTAATGTTCCATTTAATTTGGTATTAGGTTTACCAAAATCTGGAGAAGCACAGCTTGTTTTCCAAAAAAACTCAATACATTCTTGAGTTTGCATGATATTTTTATCTTAATAATGGTGTAAGCAGTTCCTTCTAAAATTCTATGCAGCTTTTGAATTCTTAGGTTACTCAGGTGATAAAAAACGTCCCATGAATGCTATTCTTTGAGTGTGAAAAAGTAGTACTCTTTTAATTATTGGTTCAGTGAGGTATTCTCTAAACGCAAGGCTTTCTGAGTATTTAGGTAGAGAGAGGATTCATGGTCAAATACAAGACCTCCTTATGGAAGTTAGCCTGAGCATGCACAAGTTGGAACAGATTCAAAAAGCTTCTGTCGTCTTCATCATGGTCTCCTATATGCCATACACAGGAATGGACAATAGAGAAAAGAAAATGACAGTTAAATTTTTAAATATATGATTTATTTGAAACATAACATGTTCCAATTTTCCCTAAGAAAGTGTGACAGAAAACTAGTTAGTGATCTTTACTAAGTCAGACATTAACCACTGACATCATGGAATTTTATAAAAGCGCTGAATTAGAAGTCAGAAGAAAACGATGCTAGTCCGCACTTTATTGCTTCTAACTTTACGACCTCGGGCAAGTCAGGGAATTTCTCCAAGCCTTAGTTTTCTCATCTGTAAAGTAGGGTTAATTATCTTGTGGGCTACCTAATAAAACTGTAAGATAATATATGATGAAACTGCACAAATACAAGATATTATTATGATGATTATGATAGTTGGTAAGTGAGCAAGTTAAAATTTTTTTCTGTGCAAAATTGAAATTGGTTCCTTTCAGAGCAGACTCTTCAACTTTATGTTTTTCACTAAAACCAACACCAAATTTTAAAAGTAGCAAAACCAGGAACTAAATATATCTCATGGGAAAACAAACAAACAAAAAATGTCTGTTTCTTTTATTCTTAGTTTAGAAATAAAAGTCTACCCAGAATGATCTCTGTCTTAAGTGAAGACTAGTATGCATTTTACTCACATCTTTGCACTATCTCCATGCATACTCACCAGACATAATTGACTGCATCATTTCCATTATAACACATGCAAATGCATTTGCCACACTCTGAAGGAAGTTATTTCTTTCCACTGGAGTGCTAAAGACATTACAGACTTTTTGCATCATTTTCACTGCCCAATCCATGCAGTATAGTTCTTTCTCGCAGACCTGATTTAGACATACAAAGCATTATGGTAAATCTTCATGCAAAGAAAGCTGTAGAATTTGAAAATGATATTAACAATGAGGGTTTACAATTTTATATAACTTATTACACGTGACATTATATTGAATCTATAAATGGGAAATGCTCTTATAGCTAATGCTCCTTTGCTTTCCAATCGTACAATTTTATCAGGAAAAAGTATGAAGTAAATAAAAGACTGGGTCAAGCCTATCGTAGAATATCATTTATTAATGTAAGAACTGATATTGAAAATAGTTATTGAATATATGAAAAATAAGACTTCTGTTCATTCATTCATTCAATAAATATTTATTGAGCACATGCTAAGAGCTAGAGATACAATGGTAAGCCACAAAGACACGGCCTCTATTTTCCAGGGGTCCAATGAGGGTGACAGACAAACAGGCAATTTCAAGAGGCAAGAAAACTTTATGGTATTATCAGCTTTCCATCTTGAGAGTTACAGGGATTATTTGTCTATTATTTAAAAGATAAATATTTAAAGTAAAGATTACATGTTCATAGCTAAAACTGACAAAGGAAAAAGGTTTATTTACTAACATTCTAAATGGTCAATTTAACTAACATAGTCAAATAATGTACAGCATGAAAATAAACTATATAGTGTAACTAAATAATGTTCATCTGACAGGAAAGATCTATTGACTACTTACTGTGTGTAAAGCACTGTACGAGGCACTATGAAAGAAGTGAGTGACACAGTGCTGGATTTCAAAGAACTTGCAATCTATTTTGGGAAATGACTTACCCCACACGTACAATGGCTTAAGAACATTATTAGCAAATGCCAACAAAGGGAAGACAAGCAGGCAATTTAGGGAATATTAATGATCAGAGTTGAGATGTTAGGGGGCTGGCCCTGTGGCCGAGTGGTTAAGTTCGTGCGCTCTGCTGCAGGAGGCCCAGTGTTTCGTTGGTTCGAATCCTGGGTGCGGACATGGCACTGATCATCAAACCACACTGAGGCAGTGTCCCACATGCCACAACTAGAAGGACCCACAACAAAGAACATAGAACTATGTACTGGGGGGCTTTGGGGAGAAAAAGGAAAAAATAAAAAGAACTTTAAAAAAAAAAAAGAGTTGAGATGTTAATCAGAGAAGGCTTTCTAGAGAAGGCTTTTCCACCCCTAGTGACTTCCTCTCCATTTCATTTGCTATAGCACTGCCAAAGTGACCTTCCAAAAATATAAAACCAATCATGTCTTTTCCCTTCCTAAAATGTTTCAGCAGCTCCCTGGAAGGGAATGTGTTCAAGCTCCAAAGAATGGTCTACAAGGCCCTTCCTTACCCAGCCTCTCCCTTCCTATCTAAACTCACCTCCTCCTCCTCTTTTGCACATTTTACCCTTCAGAAATAATCCCGAACTGCCTATAGGCCCCTGAATATAGCCATGCAGTTCCAGTTCTCTCCCTCTTCTTTTTTTGCATGAATCTGCATAATTATTAAAATAAATATTTACATTGAGAATACAGTTAATTTAGTAGCTATCTTCACATCTTAAGAAGAGCCACAGAGGTTTCATTCAAGTTTTAGCAGTTGAGTTGATCAAGATGCTGTCTCTGCTTCATAACAAATGGATTACAGGGGCCAGCCTGGTCGAGCAGTGGTTAAGTGCGCACATTCTGCTTCGGCAGCCCGGGGGTTGCCAGTTTGGATCCCGGCTGCGGACATGGCACCACTTGGCAAGCCATGCTGTGGTAGGCGTCCCACATAGAAAGCAGAGGAAGATGGGCATGGATGTGAGCTGAGGGCCAGTCTTCCTCAGCAAAAGGAGGAGGATTGGCATCAGTTAGCTCAGGGCTAATCTTCCTCAAAAGAAAGAAAGAAATGGATTACATTCAATAACTCCTCACAACAGCCAAATGGAAGATTATTCCATTGCTTTTAAAGCACTGGTTGAGCTGGCATCTGTGATGGTAGCAAAATAAACGAGATTTCTATGTAACACATGCAGGTACATGCTGGAAGAATTTGCCCCTACTACTGTGTGGTGAACTCCTCCTGTTCACTTTTCAAAGCCTGTACCTGCTGGGGTTGGGGAGGCCTTCTCTGTGCTCTCCACACACCCAAGGCTGGCTCCTCTTCTGCTACCTCTGTTTGTATTATTTTGTACACAAGTTTTGCACTTATCACACTGAATTTATTTATATACACTTTGATATCTCTCAAAAGACTGAAAGCAGGTTTTGGTCAGAGATTTTTTTCTATTAATTTTCACAGGCCTAGCATCGCACACAGTGTATGGTCTATGGTAAAAACTCAATTTGTGTTAACTGAATGATATTAAATATATTTTTAAATTTTTTTTTTGAGGAAGATTAGCCCTGAGCTAACTATTGCCAGTCCTCCTCTTTTTGCTGAGGAAGCCTGGCCCTGAGCTAATATCCGTGCCCATCTTCCTCCACTTTCTATGTGGGACACCTACCACAGCATGGCGTGCCAAGCGGTGCCACGTACACACCCGGGATCAGAACTGGCAAACCCCGGGCCGCCAAGAAGCAGAACATGTGCACTTAATCGCTGCGCCTCCAGGCCGGCCCCTATTTTTAACTGTTTTATTTTGAAAAGCATTTTAACTACACAAAAGTAGAGAGAATAGTATAATGAACCCCCAGTACCCATTTTCCACCTTCAACAATTACCAATCTTCTTTCACCTCTACCACCATTCACTTCCACATCCTCTCCCTGCTTCCCATTGATTATTCTGAAGCAAATCAAATGGTATGCTTTATTTTTTTTAATAGAATTTGAAAAAAAGAATATAACTTGGCAGAGCTGTATAGTGACAATCTAGATATGAACTGAGGAGTGGTTAACATAGGGAATGATTCTAAATACTATAGTTTATTACATATATTTAAAAATTTTATAAAAATATATACTTATTTATTTTTTCAAAATGTTTTGCATATATTTCAGTTCCTTCAGGGCAGTTCCCTGGGTGCTCAACTATAATGTCAAACAACTTGCTAGAGAAAAATTTATGTTTTACTTACCAAAGCCAAAAAGACCATCAGCCTTGCCAGGTCAATGGCCCGTCCATTCACAGCTTTACTGGCCATGAAAGTGAAACAGATGTTGTTCCCACTTAGGATTAGGAGACGTGCGTTATTCTCTAGAAGCCACTCACGGGGAACCACTTTTATTAGAGGAAGAGCAGTTATTTAATTAGAAATTACAGAACAGCTACAGTAAACATTATTAAATGCATGCAATATTATATCACTTTATTAGAAATACAATTAGTGCCAAGGGAAAAGCTCAGGAAAAAATGCTTTAGTTTTTCAATGAAAGGATTCAGCTGGAGACCTAGATTACTGCCAAGTCATGGTAGCTCTCACAAATGTACTAGTAATACAGACAGAGCATTTCTCCTACACATAGATCAACAGGGAAAGTGGTCTAATCCTGTGAAAGGAAAGAAACCTTGTAAACTTTAGAATCTAAAGAATTATGCAAGAATGGGAAAAATTGTTCCACCTCTCCTGTACCAGCAGGAGAGGGCTTTCTCACACAACCGAGGAGGGGGTTTCTGAGAACTTGCAAAATGAGCATATTATGAAGCTTTCAAATAATAATAGTAACAAATACATACTTATAAAATTTGCAATTGAAGAAAAGTAAGTTTATTATATGCATTCTCTTCAAACATAATGCCAAATTCTTTAAATATTTTAGATCATTTAGTTATTTCCAAAAGGTAAGTCATTTGTTACCTAAAGAATTAGCCATACAATTCTATAACTGTATTCTAATAACAAATTTCTATTACTCTATATAGTAAATACATATTTTTACCTGATAGCTCATCTACAAGACTGATAACATCATCTGCTGTCCACTCTTTGGTGCCTGTGTCATATAATAGTTTAATAGCATCGGCCAAATCTTTCAGACTGGAATCATCTGTAGGATCTTCTATCATTTTCTGCCAAACCACCTGTCCTGAATGAGAATTGAAACAAAACTAGGCTATGACAGAATAGTTGGCTTGTAATAAAGACTTCATGGATTATTTAAAAAGGAAGTTGGATTGCATAATCGAATCCATTACTTATACATGCTGCTTTCCTTTTAACTTTCATAATGAAAGGTCAGTTCTGATAATAGTGTAAATGTGAATGTCTCTCACTGATGTGATGAAGGAAGCACAGTGACAATAGCTAAACGAAGTAAAGAAAAGGTAGTTTTGGGGCCGGCCTGGTGGCGCAGCGGTTAAGTTCGCACGTTCCACTTTGGCTACCCGGGTTCGCTAGTTTGGATCCCAGGTGCGGACATGGCACCGCTTGGCAAGCCATGCTGTGGTAGGCGTCCCACATAGGAAGTAGAGGAAGATGGGCACAGATGTTAGCTCAGGGCCAGTCTTCCTCAGCGAAAAGAGGAGGATTGGCAGCAGATGTTAGCTCAGGGCTAATCTTCCTCAAAAAGAAAGAAAGAAAGAAAGAAAGAAAAGGTAGTTTCACCAAACAAAATAGTGCTTCTAGTTCAAAGATAATGCTACCCCTATAACAGAAATTGGAATAAACAACTGATGTAATCTTATTAAGATAAATAAAATCTGATGTCCTTCTAAAAGGAGGGTATACCATAATTGAGAATCTTCCAAACATTTCTATCAAAACAGAGTAATCCTGTCAATTGTTTTATTATTTAGCTATGACCAATTCTCCTTGTGAATTACACACAATGAAATCGAATCCCAGACTGGCTTCCTGCTGCTATTCAGCATACCGTAAACTGGTTACCTCCTACATAAGGCAATGTGAACTGAAGAACTGCAAGTTAATTTTAACATTAATCTAAGCAAATCTTAATCAGAAAGGCAAAAAATTGCAAGAAATCATATTACACACCCCAAATTAAGTAATACATCAATTCTGACTACTACTTTGCTTCAGTGGCACTACTAGTCCCCTCTAGAAGCAAACATAATCTGAAGTTAATGTTTAATCTTAAATGTTTAAATTTAAGATAATGTTTAAAAATGAAAAGCAGCTATTTCCGTAGAGATGATGAGAATATATTTGGTAATGGCTTGCAGGAGAACAGTTTCTGTGTTGAAACTTAAGTTACATACAAGTTCATGTAGTATACATCTATGAAGTCATGAGCCACAGTTTAGTCACTAGGAATGATGAAACCGAGCAGGTACAAAAAGATACCCTTCCTGAAGTAAAAGCAATTAACCAGTTTTGTAACATACACCCTTAAAAACTGGATGCTCACCATCTTGAGGAGATATTGGTCCAAAGATGATATACAGTAATCTTGCCTGATTCACCATTGGCCATGGTTTTAATATACGTGTCAACCAAAAGGCAGAATCACTTCGATGTGTCCAGTGATCAAGCAGAACGTTCCTACAGAACAGTCTGATCCTTAACTCCAGTTTTCGGGCACCTCCTATGAAGACAAAAGAATTGTAAACCATTCTTTCTAGAAAGGTTGATGTGCATATTAGATAGGTCAAAGACACGTTACTTCATTTTCCTCTGTAAAAATGTTAGATTATCAAGGGACTGTTTTGTTTAAACAGCTCTATTAAGATACAATTTACTTATCATACAATTTACCCATTTAAAGCGTACAATTCAATGATTTTTAGTATATTTAGACATGTGCAGCTGTCATCAAGTCAGTTTTAGAACATTCGATCACCGCAAAAAGGAACCTTGCTCTTTTGGCTATTACTCTTCTATTGCTCCATCCTTTACCACCTCCAGCCCTAAGTGACCAAATAATCTACTTTCCGTCTCTATAGATTTCCTTATTCTGGACTTTCGCATGAATGAAATCATACAGTATGTGGTCTTTTGTGACTGGCTTCTTTCACTTAGCATAATGTTTTCAAGGTTCATCCATAAGGCGTGTATCAGTACTTCATTTTTACGGCCAAATAATATTCCATTGTAGCTATACCACATTTTGTTTATTCATTTACCCATTGATAGACATTTGGGTTATCTCCACATTTTGGCTATTATGAATAATGCCGATATTAGCATTCATGTACAAATTTCTGTGTGGACATATGTTTTCATTTCTCTTGGAGATATATCTAGGAGTGGAATTGCTGAATCACATGGTAAGTCAATATTTCATCATTTTAGGAACTGCCAGACTGTTTTTCAAAGTGGCTGCACCATTTTACATTCCCACCAGCAGTGTACAAGCGTTCTCATTTCTCCACATTCTCACCAACACTGTTGTTATCTAATTTTTTAATTTCAACCATCTTATTGAGTATGAAGTACTATCTTGTGTTTTTTTAACAGCTTTATTGAAATACGTATAATTTACACACCATACAATTTACCCATTTAAAGTATATAATTTGATATTTTTAAATACATTACATTATTCATTTTTTTAAATTGTGGTAAAAGGTATATAACAGAAAATTTGCTATTTTAGCCATTTTTAAAGTGTACAATTCCATGGCATCAATTAGATTCACAATGTTGTTCAACCATCACCATTGTCTATTTCCAAAACTTTTCATCACCTCAAACAGAAACTGTAACCATTAAACAGTAACTCCCTCTTCCCCCTAGTTCCTGGTAATCTCTAATCTACTTTCTGCTTTTATGAATTTGCCTGTTCTAGGTACCTCATATAAGTGGAATCATGCAATATTTCTCCTTTTGTGTCTGACATTTCACTCAGCATGTTTTCAAAGCTTATGCATGTTGTAGCATGTACCAAAACTTCACTCCTTTTTATGGCTGAACAATAGTCCATTGTGTGTATCCACCACTTTTTGTTGACCCATTCATCTGCTGACGAACACTTGGGTTGTTTCCACTTTTGGGCTATTGCAAATAATGCTGCAACGAACATTGGCGTCCAAGCATCTGTCCAAGCCCCTGTTCTCATTCCCTTAGGTATATACCTAAGAGTGGAATTTCTGGGTCATATGATAATTCTACATTTAATTTTTTGAGGAATGGCCAGACTGTTTTCCATAATGGTGGCACTATTTTACATTTTTATACCGTTTATGTTCAAATTATTTATAGATAAGACAAATGTAAATGGAAAGTCTGCCAATGATCTAAGGCCATATATAAGCAAGTACCCCTGATTTGTTAAGCCAAGTAACACAGAAATTTAGAGAAGACAGATTACTGCAGGCTTGGGGAGATCAGAAAAGGCTTTATAGAGGAGGCCAGGCAAATGGGATCCTAAAGAATGAGGAGAGAGAGCACTTCAGGAAAAAAGACGATGAATGAAAGGTATGAGGTAGAAGAGGTATCTGAGACACAGTGGGTAGAGCAATATGCCTAGTCTATATCAAACTGATATACAGAATAATGGACAATAAGTTTGAAAAAGCAGGTTGGGATCAGAATGTGAATGCTAGAATAAATAGTTTGAACTTTATTTTGAAGCTATCAGGGAGCTAATAAAAATTTTTGATCAAGTAGGGACATGAATTAATTTTGTTATTGTTTCATTGGTCTTCTAAATCTGTCTTTTTAATCTATAATTTGTTTTACAATGAAATATTTCAAGATGACAGAAAGGCAGAGTTACCATAACAAATACTGTATACCAATCACCTAGCTTTATCAAAGCTTTACTTTTTGCTATATGTGCTTCAGATTTTTAAAAATAAATAAACATTATAGATACAGTTAAAGCTTCTTGTATCTCACTCCCAGTCTTCTTCCCCTTCCTCCCCAGAGGTAATCACCATCTTAAATTGGGTTTTGTCTTTCCTGTATCAGTCAGGGTTCTCTAGAGAAACAGAACTAATAGGATGTGCATAGAGTACGTGCATAGAGAAGAATTTATTTTGAGGAATTTGCTCACACAAGTGTGGAGGCTTGGCAAGCCGAAAATCTGCAAGGTAGACGATAGGCTGGAGACCAGGGAAGAGTTGTGGCTCAAGTCCAAAGGCAGTCTCCTGGCAGAATTCTTTCTTGTTTGGGAAGGTCAGTCTTTTTTTATTAATGCCTTCAAGTGATTGGATGAGGCCCACCCACATTACTGAGGGTAATCTACTTTACTCAAAGTCTACTGATTTAAATGTTAATCTAAAACGTAACTTCAGAGAAACATTCAGGATAACATTTGACCAAATATCTGGGTACCATGGCCTACTCAAGTTGATACACAAAATTAACTATCACATCTCTCAACTACGTTCTTATACTTTTTTACATATGTATGTAACCATAAAGAATATATAGAATTATTTTTCATGTTTTTAACATGTATATAAATAGTAACATATTGAAAGCATCATTTGGTAATCTGTTTTCTCAAGTTATATTTTGAGATGTATCCCTATTAATACACATGGCTCTAGATATTCATTTTAACTACTAATAGTTTTAATTGTATGATTATGCCACAATTCACTTATCCGTTCTCCTGACAATGGGCATTTAGGTTGTTTGCAGCTTGTCATGGTTACATGCTGCAATGCTCATTCTGATACATGTCTCCTGGTGCACACTGTGGGAATTTCTCAGAGTGAAACTGCTAGATTATAGGGTTCCATAATATTAAAAATATGAAACATTTCAGGTATATATAAAGGATCAAAGAATACTGTAATGAACACCTTTGTATCCTCCACCCAGGTTAAGGAATAAAATATTATGCATACAGTTGAAGCCCTCTGAGTGCTTCTCTTTCTCTAATCACATGCCACTTTTGTCTCACTATCCAATTCAGTCTTCATCATTCCCTTACATTTCTTTGTCCTTTGACTACAAATGGATGCCACAACCTATTTTTAAACACACTTTTGAACTCTGCTTTCTTTCCGTTTTAATCTCAGTATAATGTTATTTCTGAATTGTAGTTCTTTACCTGGTTTGCTGCAGACAACAGTCTGCATCTTGCGGGACAGATTACTCAGCTCACATAAGAAGTTGTAAACACGATGGCACTCAAGTTCATCCCAACCTGCTGTTAAAGTCTAAGGATGATAAAATAAAGGAAACATTGCAGATGTTCAGACCATCGAATCAAAATGTAAGTCACTATAGCCTTATGTGCATAACTGTTGTAGCACATGAGCGAAGTGATGTACAATTTTTATCTCTATAGAACTGTCGAAATTAGTAAGAAATTTTACATAAACAAAATCTAGAAATCCTTCAAAATCCAGTCTGTCTTTGGTTGTAAACGGTGTATCTTCAGAGAACTGCCACATGGTACTGAATCCTGAACTCTGTTAGTATGAGGAGAACAATAAAAGCCCAAACCCTGGGGGACAGCTTTAGACATCTGACTCACGACCACACTTGGGCTTAGTTTTCGACTACAGTAGAATCTCTCTGATCCCCTCTAGCTATCATTTATGATATTTCTTACAAATAATAATGATCTCATTTTAATGTGACAGTTATGAGCATTTATTTATAATATTTGGATGTGAACAAGCAAAAACTTCTTCTTAGGACAAAATTTAATAATTATCTTTGAGCAAACCAGAAGGTACAGTTAAACATATATGAAAAGGAAATTCAAATGGTATATCACTATAATTAGATGTTGAAAAGGTTGATTAATCACATAAATTTTTCTTAGAATAGTTGAACTGGACTTCAGTAGTTTAAAAATTAATCTTATTCTCTCTGGATGGACATACAGGAAACTGCTAACATTGGCTACTTCTGTTGAGGGGAACTCGGTGGGCGAGGGACAGGCCTGGGAGAGAGACTTACTTTTCACTTTATATCATTTTGTACCTTTTGAATTTTACATGAATACACGTGCTCATATTACCTGTCCTAAAACAAACAAACAAAAAGCAAAAATCTATCTTGGAAAATGGCAAGTAGAAGAGTCTATACCCCTGGAACCTGGGCGTGCAGATGGTGGCTGGCAGGCTGGGATATAAGCAAGATTGTTGTAAAACTGTTATAAATCTCATAAGGTTGTTGTAAGTTTTAAATAAGTTAATACATGTAAACTGCTTAGAATAGTGTAATATACTAATAAAATATTATTAAAATTGAATAACATTAAATTATGCTATCTGTTTACAATAAAAGATTGCCAAAAATGTTCTTAAAATCATACGGTTGATTTCTTTTTTCCAGCTTTATTGAGACATAATTGACATATAATATTGTATAAGTTAAAGATATACAACATTGTGATTTTATATATATATAATATATATATATATTGCAAAATGATTACCACAATAAGGTTAGTTATATCTATCACCTCCCAGAGTTACAAATATTTTTTCATACAGTTGATTTCTAAAATAACATGTTAAATACTAGCCCAAGATTTAAAACTAATTATACACACACACATACACACACACACACAACCCCACACTATTTCCAGTCTTTACAATTGGCTGAAAACTTTGAGGACATTGGTATAGAGCAAATAAAGGTTAAACATGTGTTACCAAGGAGAAATCCGAGAAGAAAATCTGAGGTGGCAACACACTATTAGATTCATACATTCTCAAATTTTTACAATTTTATTTTGTTCTCTTTTTAGATTATCATTACTTTTATTAACCTATGGAAACATAGATTACATGCTCTACTTGTTAACAGTTCAAAACATTTCTTTCCTTCTTTTATTAAAACAATGTACCTGTAAAAACATGCCATAACATGGTAATCCTAAACATTGCATAGGAGCTGCACAGCCATTGAATTTAAAACAGGAAACCTGTAAATAAAATAACTATTAATTCCTCCTTTTCAATGGAACTGTACAATGATTTGACATTCAAATTTAATGGAGATATGCAAGAATTTTTTCAGTATTAACTGAAAATAACTAATACACTAAATAACTGATTAGCATTGTGTTATATAGGAGGGAATTATGAAAGAAAAATAAAACAAATTCTCTGCCTTCAAGGAGCTCACAAGTTATTTAGGATAATAAGATATATACACGTGAAGTTGTTTTGATAATTCAGGTTAGAATGTGTATAAATGCTAAAATGACTGAATAAGCACTACATCAGACACTATGAAAGCAGGGAAAAGATAAATTTGGGAATGGTCAGAAAAGCTTACGAAGGATGTGAAACAAGCAACGTCTTAAAGTAGGATTCAGATATAACACATGGAAAGGATTGGTGAGGGAAACAACATGCACAAAGTTGTACAGAGGCAGGAATAAAAAAGATTTCTTTGGGAAGAAAGATATAACCAGCTTAATTAGGCTCAAAGCAGTAGGAAGTAAGGTTGCATTGTAAAAGAGAACCCTAAATACCAGCTGTGGACTTTGGACCTTATCTTGCTGAAATTGAGTAGCCACTGAAAGATTTGTAAGCAAGAAAATTAATCTGATGAAAGTGATGCTTTCAGAAGAACAACCTTGATTCGGCATACAGAACGTCTGGGGGAGTGGAGAAATGGATGGCAGAAAGATATCTGGAAAGCTGCTGCAGTAATATAGACCTGAACTCAATGCAAATACTGACATGAAAAAAGCCAGTGCAGCAGAAACAGTTTGCATACTATTGAGTGTAGAACTGAGTAGCCAGCACTGTATGTGTGTTTGAGTTTTTATAGTAAAACTCAATGTCTTATGTAGAGATTATGCCCAAACACACTGACATACATTTCCAAGTCATAAATTATCATAAAAGGTTTGTCACTTTTTATATTAAGAATGCTTTCCTAAGTTTTTGTATATTTAAACAGTAAGATTTTAAGATTTGAAATTATTTCATTTTAATAAAGTATCTAAATCATCACTTTAAAACATCCTCAGGATTCCCATGTGGGGCAAAAATATTTTTATACTCTGATAAACTTAATAACTTAAATGATGCACTTAGTTATATATAAAAATTGTTTTATAATAAGTAAAAGACTACTATACTACATTTTGGTGTTTTATAATCTTTAAGTACTTGGAAAGTATTAGATTATCATCAGTCAATTTTTCAGTACTAATTCATGGTTATACTAATTAAAGATAGATTTTAAATGAGTATAAGACATTAATAATAAAATATCTTTACTGGAAATCAAGATTGTGAACTAATTCAGAAGTATGATCTTACTTCTGCGAGTATCTTGTGAATGTACTTTAGTCTTTCCTTTGTGGGTAGCAGCAACGTACATCTTTTAAACAGTAGACCTGAGAAAGCAAGAGACACATGAAAAAATGAGAACCACAATGCAACTAATTTAAGAATATCTATAAAACACAGCATAATGTTTCCTGAGGGTCAAGTATGGTATACCATAGTGGACTGTGAGCTGATATGATTTTTAAGAGGAAGTTTGGGAGGAAGGGTGCAAAACACTTATAATATATGATGTTTACCAAGTGACTCTGACGTCCACCTAAGAGCCACTGACATAAAATCTCTAAAAAAATTGTGAAATTGATACAACAGGACAAATATGGAAAAGTATTTAGATCTAAAAAGATACAGTAACAGGACAAAAAATACACTAGGGAAACTTCACATTGTCTTTTTTTTTCCCCTGCTTTTTCTCCCCCAATCCCCCCAGTACACAGTTGTATATTTTAGTTGCAGGTCCTTCTAGTTGTGGCATGCAGGACACTGCCTCAATGTGGCCTGACCAGCGGTGCCGTGTCTGCACCCAGGATCCAGGCAGTTGAAACCCTGGGCCTCCTAAGTGGAGCGTGTGAACTTAACCACTCGGTCACAGGGCCGGCCCCTCACATTGTCTTTATTCCACAGAAAACATATTCCAATGTCTCTAGAAATTAACCTTATGTCCATGAAGGAAAATATTTTGAATTGTTAATGTAAAACATGGAAAGAATGGGAAAAGGGATTTTGTATTCCTTTCTCCAATAAAAAACCTTAACGTCATAAATACTTAAAATTCAGAGGTTAGAAGTCATTTTTGCTAGCAGAAAGCAGCCAGTTTGGATGAAATATCCATTCCTTCCTTCAAATATGTCCTTTTATGGAGCTTGCATGTTAAGAATGTATAGAATTTTGTGTTCAAATATTTAAGAAAGGAAAAAAACACCCTTCAGCTTCCCCGTGAGATACGTAACTTGAACTACAGTGACAGGAAGTGTATGGTTTGTTTCCTCTAACTTTAAGTGTTGGGTTTTCCTAAAATGGCAATACACTGTTAACATTTCTATAAGGGCAAATGTCCTCAAACTAAAAATAAGATATGTGGTAGGAAAATAAATACCTGAATATCATGACTTTCTTCAGTTTTTATATTCTCTGCATTTACTTTTTAATGTAACATAATAACTACTTTATATAACTCTGTAGAATCTATGGGAATCTAACTTATTTTTAGAAGCTGCTATGTTTGGGTAACATACGACCAGAATTGAGTTTTAAACATAAACCCTCCTTATTTTTGTACATAAAAAGCCATTTTCAGTGTTTGGTTTTTAGCTGAGTTCTTTTCCTTTCCTGTTTTGGCATCCATTCCCATGGCATATCATAGCTGGGGAACTGTAAGCTATAATTGTAAGCTGGTTGCCTTTTCTAAAGTAAAACTCCTATTTTTAAGGGTTGCAATTTACCATAAAAACCAATATTGGCTGACTTATTTATTTTTTTAACACAGGTGCTCTGCTATACCCTTTAGAGACCAACTTTTTAACTTTGTTCCCACTAAAACAGAGTCAGATGTAATGTGCTTTCCACACTGGCCATCTGCTCTGTTTTGTATGAAGAAGCAAATTAAAATTTATAATCTTCAGAGTGCAGGATTCTGAAAATGTTATTTTATGTCTGAAAACAAGAACAGATCAGATAGGAATGGCAGTACGAGAAAACGGTGAGTACATCAAACATTTACCTAAAGAATCAGTCATAAGCCAGATGTCTGCAGCAAAATTAAATGGAAGGTTGAAATCATTACACAAATAAAACCGTTTTAGAAAGCTAGCTATTAAGATCAATATATACTTGTATTTTTTAACTGAATTATCCACATAATTGTCTTAATGCTTTTTTTGTTTGTTTAAATAACTGAGCCTTGGTTAGGGAGAAAAAATTCTTTCAGATCAAAACCAAACAATAATCTCTTTTACCCAGGTACCGTTTTCTCTGCAACTAATGATGTTTGAAAAAAGATATTTACAATGACAAGTAGCAAAAAGTAATTGCCATATTCTGTTACAGATTTACTAAGCCTGATCATAAATACTGAAACCAATAACATTGTAATAAGATTACATATCATTCATTTAATCTTATTAAATATACTTGTCAAATGCACTTTGAGTATTTACACACCTATATGGTCTTATTGTCTTAAAGCTAGGCACCCTTGGGCTACTAAAAGGTAACAATCACTTAACTTACTATTATGCCTTTATTTAAATCTCAACGTCACTTTGATTTTACTGCCATGCTTGGTTAATTATAAGGTGTTTTCATAATTAAATTGGTGTCATTAGACAGTCAAAATTAGAGTTTTATTTCAGCACTCTTAGAGAGAATGAAATCAACGAATGGGGTGAAAGACTCAAATGATTACAAATCAAGGGAAGAAAGATTATACAGAATTTCCTTTGAGAAGGTTAATTTAATCATAGCATAATGATTTATTAGTGTGTAGAGTGCTTAAAGAAAAGAAAACAGTTTTTTCTGATAAAAGAATAAGTGATCTTCTATAATAGTGTATCTAAATTTCTTTTCTATTTTAAGGACTAGATTATGGTTGAAAGGGAAAAGAGGTATAGAGATAAAACTCGTTAGATCCCTAGGAAGCAAAGTATAGAAAATATATCAATTTCCTAAACTGTTAAGCCACCTCGACAATAAGCATTGATGACATATCCACGTGAAATCACAAGAACTGACACTTTACCTTAAAGTGCATTCTCTCATCATCAAAGATAAGCGTAAGGGACTGTTGTTAAGGGAAAGTCCTCATACTGAAGAGTAAGAGTATCATTGAAATAGGCACATTTTAGGAAATAGTCCATTTCTCATGGGCCTTACAGAATTGTATAATAAAATCCCCTTAATTAAGTATAGTTCTTGTTAGAACTCTCATTATAAATCACCTAGAGATCTGTAGTGTTCCAATATCGTGGAGTCTTGTCTTCCGCCAGGCAGCTCAAGGTTGTGAAAGTCTTGTAGTAAAAGTCTTTTGCTTCCTGATGAGGTTGAGATGTAATTAATAATACGCTGGCTGACCGTTTTGGACACCATGCTTAGCATGCTGATATCCTTCACTACCAAAAGAAATATATACACACATGAAATGAGCGGCTTAAATACAAGAACACTACTATTAGTACAACACGTTAACTTATAAGTTAGCTCATTAAGAATAATACGAAATAATAAAAATAAACATTGTAAGTGAATAAAAAAGGGGAAAATCTTAAAATCGTTTTAAATCCAGTGCTCAATGAATTAGAAACATTTTGGGATGTAACAGACAAGTTACCATGTCATTATAATCAAAGACATGCTTTAAAGAGTTTGAGTATCATAGTTTCTCATTGTACCCCCTACCTAAGAATGACGAAATTTTAGAAAATAAACTTCATGTGAACACCATTAACATCCTAGCAGGCCCTAAGATGGCAAACTAGTTCTTGGGAAAAATTAAAATATTCCAGTGTCTATGTAGCCTACTCAGAGTCTCCAAACCTCACCTGACAAATATCTTAAGATTATTAGGAATATTTCCAACGGCAAGGCTTTAAAATTTCCAAGTGTTGATAAAGGCTGAAAATCTGAGTCACGGGTGTTGGAAAAATAGCTGGATCGACGATTACTACGTCTATATTTCTGGTTGGGAATCAAAGTGAAACTGGTATTTCTTCTAGATGCCATCCTTTTTCTTATCTTATGAATTTATCCTGGTTAGAAAAACAAAGTCCAAGAGACAAAAAAGAAAGGAAATTATAGCAATGAAGAGCTGTTGTTTTTTTAAATGAAGAGGTTGATATTTGGGTGGGCAATAACTGTCTCTCTATATTTACAAAACTTTCAGTATGATGTCCAGTTTACGGAGTTCCCACCAGTAGAATCCATTCACCTCAGCATGAAATGAAATATTAAAAAATCTTTTCCCTCTGGGGCCGTCCCTATGGCCTAGTTGTTAAGTTTGGCATGCTCCACTTCAGTGGCCCAGGTTCACGGTTCTGATGCTGGGTGTGGACCTACACCACTCGTCAGCCATGCTGTGGTGACAACCCACATACAAAAAAAATAGAGGAATATTGGCACAGATGTTAACTGATGGCCAATCTTCCTCACCAAAAAAAAAAAAAAAAAAAAGACAGATAAATGAAAAATAAAAGTTCCAATCTCCCTTCCCCAAAAAAGATTTTCCCTCTTAGGCAAATATTCTAGTTAGATTAAGAGTTTTAGTAGAAAATGAGACATATATTTGGCTGAGATATATTCTTTTTGTTTTGCTTTTTTGTTTTTGGGTTTTTTTTTTTTTGAGGAAGACTGGCCCTGAGCTAACATCGTGCCCATCTTCCTCTACTTTCTATGTGGGACGCCTACCACAGCATGATGTGCCAAGTGGTGCCATGTCCGCACCTGGGATCTGAACCGATGAACCCCGGGCCACCAAGGCGGAATGCGGGCACTTAACTGCTGCGTCACCAAGCCAGCCCCTGAGATATATTCTAAGAAGAGAAATATGCAAAATTTTAAAAAGTAAAAGATTTAACACAAAAAAATATAACAAATTCAATATCTGTCAATTAGTATGTTGCTTTTACAATCTTTACATTCTAAAAAAAATCAAAGTATTAATATAGCCTCAAAAATTTGTAGTAATGTTTTTCTATTTGTTTCAAACTGAATACTGACATGTTCTTTTGTTAGAAACAATAAAACAAAGAGATAAAAAATAGACTTTAAGTTTAGAGCTTTTAAAATTTACTAGCCCTAACAGATTACGAAGGTTGCATTACTATTACCAATTATGTGCGGTATAATACACAAATAAACAGGGAAGTTAAAGTTTTGTAAAATTACTAAGACCAGAATAAATACATGAATAATAATTTTTCCTTCAATTCTACTTTTGATTAATAATAGTAACTGATAAGTCTTTGAAAGGGCCTACACAACTCGATTTCAAAATGAACATTTCCTGGAGGGAATTTATCAAAATCACTGATCATTTACTTACACTAAAAGATAATTCTTTAAAAAAAATATTACTCTTTAAATAATAATTATTATTCTTTAAATAATTCTTCAAAAGAACGTTCCTCATCACACACAGTGACTTCGAGTCACTGTTGCTCCAATTCAGAAAAGATACACGTCCGTAACCATAACCACGACTCCAATCTAGGCTCCCTGTTTCTGAAGTAACAACTAAGACATTTCATCAGAGCTACAAATACATCTGACCAAAGTGCACTTTCTCCTCTTGTCACAAAATTGCTAAAATCACATTGTTACTTATTCATCTAAAAGGTTACATTCCGACTTACATCAATTTAAAATCAGTTAGATATTTGAAAACATGCCCAAGAAATTTAGTGCTGAGCGAAAAGCATACTGTGAACCTCCTTTCAAACCATCCCGCAGCACTGCGCTTCAGCACTCGCGGAGCACTTAAAATCAGGAGGCATTTTTAAACAATCGTTAAAATTACGCAAGTAATGTACGTGCATTGTCAAAAAGTTTACAAAACACAGAAAGAAGAAGAAAATTAAATTCACTCGTAAATACTTGGGTTTACATCATGCCAGAATTTTACCTATATACAAATATTTCTTTTTAACAAAAGAGGGGGCTCGCTGTTCACAGCATTTTGTAATCTGCTTTTTCCATTGTAATTTGTTATTAAAATGGTAATTTCTCTCCCTGCAATTAGATATACTTCTACAAGCATCTGCATGTAATACCCCCAAGCAGAGGAATCTAAATCCTTAATTTAAACCTCCACGAGGTTGTTTTTAAAGCTTTTTCATTATAACAAATAGAAATCTGGCGTAGGATTTGTCCTGTTTCTCTGAGGAAAGTGTCAAGTGGGCCTGGGTGGGGTCTGTGGGGTCTTCACTCCCTGTCCCCTGATACCTGGGGACACTTTAGTGTGTCAACCACTGAGTACATATATTTTCAACCCTCTGAGAGGATTAAAACACAGTGGCCCAAATTCTTTGCAAACTGGAATCTCCTCTTAACAATTCCTTATTTTCCTCACTGTGACCTCAACATTTTGGGGGAAGACAGCAGACTTTTCTGAAAATCCTAAAGGTGTAATCCCAATTGATTGCTGGTTTCCTCTCACCCCCCATTAGAGAGTGAGAATCACAGACCAAAATAATAGTAATAAAATGACTGTTTCAATGCCCCGTTCCACCCCACTCATTCCTGACTCTGTGTGAAAGGCTTTGGGACCCTCGGGATGAATTTTTTCCCCCTTCCAGAGAAAACCGTCTAACAGCAATTCCCCGGGGCTTCTATCCTGCTGGAACCTAAGAAAAGCCCCCTCAAGGGACCCACGCCTTCGCCCGGGTATTAGCCCCGAACGCCTCCAGAGCGGTAACCTAGGGAGGCCAGAACAGCGAAACTGGCCAATCTAAGAATCAAATCACACTGTGGTCTCTTTTCCGCCCCCTCCAGTCCATGAAAAGATGAAACTATCTCAAGAAAGTACTGGGGCAAAAAAATCTCTTTTTACCACAGATTTGGATAGTTTGCCGCCTAAAGAATCACAGGAAAATGGGATTTAGTCGTTTTGCCCCACCATCCTCCAATTTCTTAATCTTTCAAAAAGAAAATATCTCCTCAAGATTTTCCCGCCGAGAAGACGGAGGGTCCGGCACCCGCCGGCTCTGGTACAGCGTTCCGGGTTCCCAGGCGCCCCCCGTGGCCTCCCGGAGAGCTTAGAATCCTCCCAGGAGCCCCAGCGGGAGGGAAGCCCCGCCCCCTCATGAATAGCAAGAACCCCGGCTCCCATGGTGCCCTCCTCCCTCATGAATATTTAGAACCCTCTCTGGAGAGCTCCCCCGGGAGGGAGACTCCGCCCCCTTATGAATAGTAAAATTCCCGGTGCCACCCCATAGGGCCCGCCTACGTGATGAATAATTAACGAATGAGGTCCTCTGAGTCTGCACCGAGGCCAAAGGCACCCTTTGCTTCTGGCTGAAGACAGGAAGGGGTGGAGCCGTTAGGGTCTGGGGGAGGGGAGGGTGCAAAGGAGGAGCCCAAGGCTGATGCGCCTCAAGTCTGCTCCAAACCACTTCCTTTCCCTTCAACCTCGTTTTGAATCAATATTTGATTTCCCCACCTCCACCCCAGTAGGGTAAGTGACAAGGGCTTTCATCAAAACTTCTGTTGGAAAAACTCTCTAAACATTCCTTTTTAAACCTATTTCCGTGCCTAGAATCAAAGGAGCATGAGCGCCTCAAGCTTCTCAAGATGGAATCCAAGACTCATCTTTCTAGCTTGGCCCTCCTCCGCTGAAGATTGAGTTCTCATTCATTCAGTAGCTATTTATTGAAACGTGTTCTGCGCCAGTCACTGGAGTAGGCCCTAAGGATGCAACAGAGAGCACGACACTTAAGTTTCCTGCCTTAATGGAGTTTGTGAGTCTAACGGGAAAGATAGGATAAAGAGACAAAATAAAATCGCCACAGATGGAGAGTAGTGTTATGGAGGAAGATAGGATATTGAGGGCTGTGTGTGCCTGCTTGCGAGGGGCTGGTCAGGAAGGTCCCTTTGAGGAGGTGACATTTAATTTGAGTACTGATGGAGGAGAAGGAGTCAGATGGAGGCCTGAGGGGAAGGGGAACAGCAGGGAAGATTTTGGTGCATCCTAGGAATTTGCAGGCCTGGCTGGCTGAGTTTAGTGAGCAAGTAGGACAGTGGCATCAGAGAGAGCATGAAGAGGTGACACAGATGGGAATATGCAGGACCTTTTAGGCCCTAAAAAGGGACCATTTTAGAACCCCTGGAGGGCTTATATACTCCAGCTTTTGGAAACCAACTCCACATTATATCTGACAAATTAATATGTACCCACATCCTTCATTAAATAAAATATATAAATAACTACATAAAAGTTGAATTGAAATTTTGGATTAGTTGACATGTTATATTATGGAGTCACAAACATTTATTAATTTTGACTTTGAAATTTTTTGGAGCCAGTTCTTTTTTCCCCCGTCTCAAACATTTCTTATAGGTCTCTGACAAGGTCTCAGCTCCTAGGCAGTGGGCCAGGAGTGCCTAATGGATACAAAGTTCCTAAGTGGTGAGAAGTTTAGATTTTATTCAAAGTGCCTTGGAACATCATCAAGGAGTTTCAAGCAAAGAGTGATATGAGCTGATTTACATTATTTCAAGATTGCTCTGGCTTTTATGTGGAGAATGAATGAGGCGGGTGGGAGTGGAAGAGGTAAGGTCTGTTAGGCTGTTGTTGCAGCACTAGCGTGGTGGCCCTGGAGACAGAGGTTGGAGATATATTTTGAGGATAGGAGTAACTGAATTTGCTGATAGATTGGATATGGGGCTTGGAGGGAAAGGAAGGAGATGGGCATGAGTCCCAAGCTTCTGAGTTTAATAAGTGGGTGGATGTCAATCTCATTTATTGAGATATGCAAGTGGGGAGGAGTTTTTCTAGTGGAGAATTAAGAGTTTAATTTTGCAGATAGTAAGTTTGATATGTCTATGACACACCCAAGTGGAGATGTCAAGGAGGCAGTCAAATGTATAAATCTGGAGGTTGGAGGAAATGCTCTGGGCTGGAGATAGAAATTTAAGAGTTTTCTATATTAGAGGAATATCAACATTCAGAGATTGGGAAAAGGAGGATAAGTTCTCAAAGGAGATTGAAAAGAAGTATCTAATGGATTAAACTGGAAAAAACCAGCAGAGTATGGATTCACAGAAGCCTGAAACGCAGTGCTTCAAGAATGAGGAGCGGGCTTCAAGAATGAGGGCTGTGCCGTGTGCTGCTGAGTTCGGCAATGTGTCTCTCACATGAGTACTGCAGGGGTCCGCTGGATCAGTGATTCAGTTTAGGTAGAAGTACTGGGGGTCCACCTTGTCATTTTCCATCTCAGGGCCTACGGTGACTTTGCCTTTCCAGCCACATCAAACTCAAGTCCCTCTGCCATTTCTTCAGTGTCCTCTATTTCTCCCCCATTTGCTTGTTCATTTGTTAGATTTGATCCATGCCTATTTGCTGCCGGCCCAGTGTTAACTGCAGTGCAAGTGCAGGCTCTGCCTTCTGGTGGCTCCTGGTCATAAGCACCCAACCTGGACTAATACGTATTCTGTTCCTTCTTAAGGAAACAAACGCGCTACTCCAGTGGGGATGAGGGGGAGGAGGAATAAGAGGTAGGGGGAGTGTTTCCTCTTTCACCCCCACCTCTTTGTGCTGAAACTTCCATCAAAAATGACTTCCTTCCTTTCTAAATCTTCCTCCAGGACCCACTTTAAGATTCACACACACCCTGCATGAAGCTTGTTTCTTCAATAAATATGCTTTCCCTCCTGTGAACTCCTTAAGATGCCTTGTATCTCTTTTAAATGCTTCACGTACGGAAGAAGGACAGATACACAGATGGATCTATCATGAGCCTCCAGAAACCTAAGCTTCAGGGCCTCCTTACTGGCATGGCCCCTTCCAAGGCCCCATACTTAATTTCTATTCATAACAGCAAGTGAAAATTGAAGACATATTTGCTGATGGACTCCGAATTCACTAACTTCAAGTATTTGTTGATTAATTAAGCTTGTTTTGTTTATAGAGATTTATATGAGAATTTTGATTACCGATTATATCATTCCTTTGCCCAAAAGCATTCAGTAGCTCCCCATTGCCTCTAATTGAATAAAAGCTTCCCAACTTGGCCTTCAAGGCCTGCTTCAGTGTGGCCAAATTTTATTTCCCCAGGCTTATGTCCCAAACTCTCCTTATTTCCCCAAAACGGAACCCCATGCTGTCACCCTGGTGGTGGTGTTCACACTGATTTCTCTGCTCAGAAAGTTTTCTCTTCAGACTCCACCTTTTGACATCCTAAGATAGCCTTTAGGCCCTTGTTTCTGGAAAAGAGGTCCCTGGACCAGCAACATGACCTGAGAGCTTGTGAGAAATGCAGAAACTCACACCCCGCCCCAGACCTGCTGAATTGGAATCTGCATGTAAACAAAATCCACAGTCAAGTTTGAGATATACTTACTTAGGCCATGTCACAGGCCACCTCCTCTAAGAGTCTTCAAACTTTTAAAATCCCTATAATGAAAAACGTTTTTCTTCTTTTAAACCTTTTTCATCCTTTGCTGGTACCTCTCTATGGGTTCTTCATTCTGCCTTGAACTGTGGTTCCTTATATACAGGTTTCCTTATCCTGTGAGTTTGTGAACTCTTTGAAGTCACTAACAATGGAGTCTCAAATTAGAGATGAGTTAGTTAACTTGGTATTTTTCTCAATGCCCCTGCTGCACCGGCGTCTCCCTCCCCCTCCCCATGCATGCCCACACAAACCTAGGTGGTATTGGTGGTGTTTTAGTTGATACTCAGAATTTTGCAAGGATCCAAATATAAACTGACTCTCAAATGTGCCACATGTGGGCAGGAAGATCACTTGCAATTATTTACTACTTAATAAAATGAGCATTTGTCTATTAGTTTATGTCATGAAAGTCTTGAATAGCATTCCCTTTACCTTTGACTGCCACCATAGCGATAAAATTATATCTTCAGGGGCCGACCCGGTGGTGCAGCGGTTAAGTGTGCACATTCCACTTGGGCGGAATGGGGTTCGCTGGTTGGGATCCCGGGTGTGGACATGGCACTGCTTGGCAAGCCATGCTCTGGTAGGCATCCCACATATAAAGTAGAGGAAGACAGGCATGGATGTTAGCTCAGGGCCAGTCTTCCTCAGCAAAAAGAGGAGGATTGGCAGCAGATGTTAGCTCAGGGCTAATCTTCCTCAAAAAAAAAAAAAAAAATCTTCATCCCTGAATTCCAGAATAGGAGGAGAGCTGCCCTAAATTATTCAAAAACAGCTGGTTGCCTTGAACATTTTGTAAAAACTTCTGAGGAAGGATATTCCATAAAGTCCTTTGATTCCAACAACATACAGTTAGAAAAAAGTGTCAATATCCCCACAAGAAATCAATGTTCACTGCAGAAAGACGTAAAAATATACACAAATCCCTCTTCCCATCCCCCTGAAAAATCAGCATAATCTTTCTATCTGGAGGTAACCCCTGATAATACTTTGTGACGTTTTCTTCCTAATGGGATTTTTCTTGGCCAATAAATACGGATCTATATTGTTCTTTTTACTAGTTATGTAGTGCTTCACTATAAAGATATACAAATTTGTTTAATTAGTTTTACATCGTTGAGTTGTTTCCAATTTTTTGCTACTTAATGCTGCAAGGAGCACTTTTCATCTTAGGATAAAGTTTTTAAAGTAAATTTCTGGTTTTAAGAGTGTATCACTTAAAATTAGGATAGGCTTCAAGTGACAGAAAACTCCAAACTACAGTAGCTTAAACAAGATAAAGTTTATTTTTCTCACATAAACAAAATCCAGAGATGAGCAATCCGGGCTGGCATGGCAGCTCCACCGTCATCTGGACCCCAGGCTCCTTCTCTCTTGTTGCTCCATGTCCTCAACCTGTGGCTTCCACCTTTCAGCCCAAGATGGCTGCTTGAGCTCAAGCTGTTATATTCACATTTCAGCCAGCAGGAAGGAGGAAAGGGGGGGAGAAGGAACTTCCTCTGGACCCTTCCTTTGACATGGATTTGGTCAGAACTTAGTATCACATTTACTCCTAACTGGGAAGCATTTCAGAGGGCCGTGTGTCCGGCTAAAAAATAGGGATTGTATTACTATATAAGAAGGGAAGAACAGATAGCAGGATACAAGAGGA